GAAAATAAAGGCGTAATAACGCGAACCAAAAGACATTATAACGCGAAGCGAAAGGCGTTATAACGCTTATTTAATACCGTATAGATTCTAAACCGTCGCCTTATGATGTAAGATAGGAAGAACAATTTTGATTTAAATGAATTGATCAAGATGTACGTTTTATTTTCAATTCTGTACGGATATGTCCTAAGGCCAAAGTCTGATTTTTTTAATCTTTTATCAGGAAATGCTTTCGTGAGATTAGAGGTTACTATCACCCAACTTTAGATATTTTTCGATAAAGACAAAGAAGACAATGTCTGCTATAATTGTAACATAACAGAAACACATTCACTCCTCTAAGCATACCTATCAATAATTAGAGATACTTTCACCCTAATGTGACTTACGTGTGCCTTACATTTTTCCAAATCTTGTTACCTATAGCCAATTACCTTATAGCGTAATGAGGAACGACATTCCCATAATTAAAAGATACTACAGGTTATTAAGAAAATTATACAGCGACATATCCGTACATAATTGAACATATGACGCACATATAAAATAAGATAAGATATAAGAAAAAAATAGAAATTCAAATTCAGTCTCCAAGTCACCTGATATTGACAAATATCAAAGGGTCTTCATTACTTTATTACAAATGGTTTGCAAATGGAATGATAGTTATTGTAAATGTATATTATATTATTCTATACCAGTTTATATCTTGAGCAATAATTTCAGATCAATATTGTTCTTCCTTTCTCATGTTACTAGGCCATTTGATAAGTATAAATATGGTATAAAATTGGCATTATAATGCGTTTGAATTACGCCTTTTGGTTCGCGTTACTACGCCTTTAGTTGCGTTACTACGCCTTTTGATTCGCGTTATTACGCTTTTTGATTCGCGTTATTACGCCTTTATTCGCGTTACTACGCCTTTTGATTTGCGTTACTACGCCTTTATTCGTGTTCCTACGCCTTTTGATGTGCGTTATTACGCCTTTTGTTTCGAGTTATAACGCAAATAAAGGCGTTATTACGCCTTTTAATTCGCGTAATAACGCCTTTATTCGCGTTATTACGCCTTTTGATTCGCGTTATTACGCCTTTTGATTCACGTTATTACGCCATTTGATTCGCGTTATAACGCCTTTATTCGCGTTACTTAGAGGTTATTACTTAGTTGCTATTCGGCATTATGCGATAATGGCCCGAAGATGTGCATAATGACCTGAGGGCCGTAGGCCCGAAGGACATTATGGACTCGAGGGCCATTATCGCATAATGCCGAGCAGCAACCAAGTATTAACGTCTTTAATACCTATGTCCCAAATACGGCTTTTAGACATCGCCGCTTATCTTGGTTGTCGCCCTTTCTAAGAAACGGACAGTAACTGTTGTCAATGTAAACAAACATATGTCGTTCAGTTTCTACGATTACCTTTGAAAACATGACAAAACAATATAAATATGAGACAATGTTGATATCTATAAATTCTATATATATTTTTGTGAGAATAACATTTAGTACTAGTTTTTTATGAACATTTGTGCCTTCAAAAACGTTTTCCGATACTGATATTTCTAGCTCTATTTGCCATCGAATCGATCCGATCTTTTTTTTACCGTCAAATTGAAATCATTTTTGGAAGTTCTTAGGGTCATGTTTTGTCTTGGGTAGAGTTATTGTATTCTTTTCTTGAGTTTATAAATCTTCTTTGTTTAGCTTTGTTGATAGAGACTGATAACGTCATTTAAACTGAAAGTTTTTGTGCAAGTGACTACAGTTATTCAACGTCAGCAGCCATCTTGAAAGTCACTGAGAGTTGATTACGTCATTTTGTACGTGCACTCATTCACTCGCCCATTATGGAAAAATAATGCCGAGTAGCAAGGCGGCCGAAATTGCATAATGACCTAGATCTTGCCATAATGGCCCTGAAATACCCTAGATTTTGTTACTATATATAGTAACATAGGTATTAATTCGCCTTTATTTGCGTTGCTACGCTTTTTTTTCGCGTTATTACGCCTTTTGATTTGCGTAATTACGCCTTTTGATACGCGTTATCTAGAACGCCTTTATTCGCGTTATTACGCCTTTTGATTCGCGTAATAACGCATTATTTCGCGTTATAACGCCTTTGCATTTTTATTTTTTATTTCATTTGACACTATTAGGCTTTCGTACAAAATATTTATAGTCCATAGTTAATATATTAGCTATACTGCAGTATCGGGGTAAATGATTGTTTTATTAGATATTATTATTATTATTATTTCAGAGAAAGCTTTTATTATTTATTCGTGCGTATAAAATGTATTCTTCAGTCTTAAGCTTGAGGTTTGCGATAATAGAAAAACAAATTAACAGGGATTTGAATCGATCTATTGATTTATCAAATAAAATGCATGTTGTAATTTTGTATAGATTAAGTTTATTCATTTACACTACGACATGCTATATTGAATGTTTATAATATTTATCAATGATAGCTATTGAATAATATAAAAACATAATTTGTGATAAGACGTATTAAGGCGTTCAAAATTTAAATAAAAGTGTATTTTACAGACACACCAAGTCGCAAACTTAAAACTTACGAGGAATGTTCCAGAAATATGACACACAAAAGGATGTTTTCACCAACATTTATTAGTCTTTGATCATTTTATTTTATTCGTACTTACTCTTCAAAGTACTCACAGAAATCTAATTATTCTGGGCTTTTACTTACATTTCGCGTTGTCTAAGCTTTCATTTTTATTTAATACTAGGTGCACGTGTTAAATTAAATTATACTAGGTCTTGGACTTACATCCCTGGTTGTCCTAGGTTTCACTTTCATTAAAATAAAAATTGATTATACTGGGCTTTGAACTTACATTTTGTATTGTTCTAGGTTTCATTTTCATTTGAAACTTGGTACATATGTAATATGTTTTTAAACTGGGCCTTGGACTTACACCTCTTGGTGTCCTAGCTTTCAATTTCATTTAAAACTTTGTGTATGTGTGAAATTTAATGATACCGGACCTAGGTTTCAATTTCAGAAATGTGTGTCATTGGAAATTCCATATACATATAACATTAATTTTTGCGCATGTGACTGTTTCTCCATGCGCAAGTCATAATGCCGGCTCGCCACGGCGAGCCGGTATTACGGTAGGATTTTACTGAGAAACAACCTAAAACTCCGAAGCTATCCAAAAATTTAATCGAAGCTTGGCTTCCAGCTTTCTACAAAATTTATCTATCAGGGCTAGGATCCAAAATTATTTAGCCAATCAAATTTAATCTTACATAGCGTCAAAAAACCTTCAATTTTCACGCCATTTTTAAAAATCAGCAAGTATTGTTTTGAGCGCAAAGATATAATGATGATTAAAATGTTTGTCTTTATGAATTCTTTTCAATAAATCATATTTACACTGACTTCTGATTTAGCGATTTCACCTGTTTTCTCTGTAGTAAGTTTTCGTTTGGTTAATTAACATAAGTGTACAATTGGTTCTGTGCATTTTTTATTTTTCCTTTTTTCGGGTCATTTTATCCTTTCCGGTATTTAGTGTATGTATTTACTAGCCGGGATCCGTGACGCCCGGGATCCGGGATCGTATAAGATATGAAGGAAAAACCTAATGAACTATATTTGTGTTGATTGTTGTCGTAATGAAAGGCCATTAAACGTTAATTTTTTTTATTGTATATAATGAACGTTAAATTAATTTAACTTAGAATATAGATATATTTAGAGCTATTTATTAGCAAAACTTAAAATGCGGAAATCACAATACTTATAATTATATGCCTAATTAATTGGAAAAATCAAAGACTATTTTCTTGAATTGGTCAAATCCCGGGATCCCTATATATTTTAAAACGATCCCAGCTTTTCTGAAAACTATATACTTGAACTGGCCAATCCGTGAGATCTATTTACATTTTAATACGATCCCGGCTTTTCTGAAAACTATATTCTTGAACTGGTCAATTCCCGGGATCCCTATATGTTTTAATAGGATCCCGGCTTATCTGAAAAACATCTTCTTAGACTGGTCAATTTCCGGGATCCCTATATTTTTTAATAGGATCCCGGCTTTTCTGGCTGAATTGATTGACAACTTGTGTTTACTTTAGGACTTGTGCCTCTCATTCCAATACTAAATAACATACATGTATTACAACTTAATTTTGTATAAAGAGACATCTTTATGAAATCTACCTATCGAACATTTTGTGGTCAAGGTCAACAGGCCATATAGTAAATGTGCATAGACATAGGTTCTTCATTCTATCTGTTTACATGCACCTTCATATATACTCATACTCATCTTGGTTAAACTGAGAGAACTTTATATGTCACTTTCAGTCAATGAGTTTAAGATTTTGAATTTACTGGCCCGAATTCCAGTTATGAATTTATTCTACTGAATAATTAACAAAATTTTCTTAAATTTACACTGGCCTGAACTTTTATACACTGGCCATCGGGCACCGGGCCAGTGTTGACTTCACTTTTATTTTGATGTTCGCTGAAGTCTCTTCAGCTAACAGAACTGTCATTTTTACATTTAAACACACCCCTTGAAAAAAATTACGAAGCGAGTCGCTACTAGCTTTTTTAAAAGCTAACCTTGTTTACACATATATTGGATAACACAAAGGAAAGTGAACACATGTGAACGTTAATTGTACTTATACGTGGACATGTCATGGATACTTTCGATTTTCTCTCTTGCAATCGTAGAAATACCTCTAAAAATAATGATGCAATATGTTTCTCAACATGACAAAATTGGAATAAAAAATCATTTGGATTGAATTAGCAATGTCATTCGTTGTTAGGGTTAAAAAATAACATGCAGACGCGCATAAATTAAATAAAATATTTTTCTCTACCCCTCTCTGTGTCATTATTTTTTCACAGAATGACGTGGTCCTGTTTTAACTATAAAAAAGCCTTGCGAGATTTCTATTCTTTCCAAAATCAATCAACTTTAAAGTTAAAGGAAGTGGGTATGCAATCGTGATTGGTTCCATTGTTTATTATAAATGTTCATATAATGCTCTTACTAAGATAAGATCTTGTTTCAGTCCTTTAAATTTATTATATGGACTACTTTTACACAAAAGGTGGTTGAAATATTTATTACGCAATTTTTCTTTCGTGTCTGCGCTCTGTTAGTGTGTAACAAAGAGTGCACTGGACAAGATGGATTCATCCAAGGTGTTGGTAATTGTTGCTGTACTTTCATTTTATATTGAAGGTAAGGCATATAGTTTCTTTTATTATAAAGTCAATGTACATTAATCATCATAATCATCATCATCATCATTATTATTGTTATAGTCAAATGATTTACAATGCCGATTTGCAAATAAATATATGGAATGAATAAATTATCATTATGAAAAATGAATATCAAAATTTAATGAAAACATGCAATAATTATAAATAATAGTCGAGCTGTTCCGTCTGGTCTGTTTTTTCAATTCTGTTTTTCACACGCTAAAACCTCTTTTATGTTGCTTACATGTCGGACTCTTTAAATTTCTTTTTATGCTGTTTAAAACTTTTCGGGATGTTGACCTACGAGACAATACGGCATACATCCATGTCTTTATTTAGAATTGCTTTATTGAAATCATTAATAAACTGCAATTTTTATGATGTACATGTAATGAAAAATATTCAAACTATGTTTTCTATAATTTTCATTACTGTCAAAATTGAAAGAACTTGTTGTTAAATTAAATTGCTTGTGTTGCGTATTATTCATAATTTCTTTAATATGTATTTCATGGCTTTCATAACAGCGGTGCTTTTTTACCAATAAAATGTCAAGAAAACTTAAGTGGATTACTTTCAAGCCATGTTGTTTACAGGTCAGCTTTAACATATGTATTATAAGGGAATGAAAGCGTGGACAACTAGTTATTTAGTATAGCTATTTATTGTTTATTTACTATTTTAGACTTGTAAATTCTGTCTTTACCTCTGAATGTTCAATAATTGTTTGAACCCTCAAATATTATTTTGTACATGTCGGCCAGTATTTTGGTATGTCGGTCGGAGACCACTTCGTTTTTGCTCAATAAGATCCTTTTATTTCTTCCAATTTTGAAGAGCAGAACATACAATACGAGTGCTGTCATAATTCAATGCCACTAATAAGGTAAAGGTAAAGGTCTTGTTTATTATAGTGTCACCCCTACTGAAAGGGTCAGCCATTTTGACTTATGAGACACCTTTTAGTTGCATACCATGTACCTCCCAATTCCTACCACTATGCCAGGCGCCAGGCGGATAGAAATCGGTAACCATTCATTTTAACTACCTCGCGGCTCACGAAGCGGCCATTTCGGAACGAGTCCCACGAGAAACATTCATCCTTCAATTAACGCTCCCCATGGGGCTCGAACCTTCGACCTCCCGATCCGAAGGCGGACGCCTTAACCACTAGGCCAACGGTACCGGTTTAATATTAGTTCCGATACCAAACAATCATGTCGAAATCAGAAAACAAAACGTTAATGAATAATGCCTAAAGATGCATTTTAATATGATAATTAGATAGTACTTAGCAAGTTTGTTGTACATGCTTGAGACAGAAATGAATGTAGTCCCATATTAGTATACCTTGCTACAGTCAAAGGGACCTAGCACAGTGTTGGGATAATGTAAAAAAAGTAATTTTAGAAAAAACTATATAATTTACATATAATATATATATATATTAAAAAGGTGTCTCATAAGTCAAAATGGCTGGCCCTTTCAGTAGGGGTGACACTATAATAAACAAGACCTTTACCTTTACCTTTTATAGTCTATATATCATATATAATAGCTAATATATTTTTTCTAAAATTACTTTTTACACTATCCCAACACTGTGCCGGTCCCTTTGGCTACGATGAGGTCTATTGTACCCTTAAAAATTTGAAACAATTTCAATAAAAATCGAGCAGACAGTGAACTGTTCTAACTGAATAAGGTGGTAATATTTTTTTTTGAAAATAAAATGAAAACGGCTTTTTTTTCAAACATAATAGGTCAATCAAGCGAAGTCTTACTCAGTATAAGACTTTAGTTGTTTATGTGCTTGGCTGCTCAAGAACAAGGTAACAATTATCTCTTGAATAATAATATCTCTATAAAATTGCACATATTTTATTTCAGTTGTAGAAGGTTGTTTACGTCTGAAGTGTTACCGATGTAACTCTCTGGATTCCCCAACTACTTGTGATAAAAACAATTTTGACGAAGACTACCACAAGGGTGATGTAGTGGTTCGGACAGATTTACACCTGCAGCTCGGTGGATCCAGCTGTGTTAGTGGCTACCTAAAAAACCACAAGGGAGTCTGTAAGTATGCTGAATGCTACTCATAAGATGTCTGTTTTTTTTCTGATTCTTTACCATATTTCAAATACTAGAACTGGGGAACAAGAGTCAACAACGCTTAATCAGGGTACTTGTTTCCTAGCGGTTTCCGGCCCAAAATCGCACTTGAATGTAAAACCCTTTTCTCACTTTTATTCAAAATTTCATAGCAGTTTCCCGACCTTTTTTTTATTTTGAATATTATTCAGTACCAGTAAGAAAGGTTAAGATGATTTTATCAAAGAAATATAACTTCCCAACTTTTTTCAGTGTCGTCTGCAAATGTACTCAAAGTATTAATTTACCTGGAATGGAGTTTCATTTATTGCGCATGGCCATTTAAACTAGAATTCCCCAGGTGTTGCTTAATTTTAAATGTCGCAAGTTTTCTAAGGTGACTTTATTGCGCATAGGCATTTAAACTAGAATTTCCCAGGTGTGGCTTATTTTTTAAATGTCGCGAGTTTTCTAAGGTAACTTTAAACAACAGATAAAACTTCAAAACATATTAATCGCTGTACTATTTCAACTTTTGTGTTACATAGTTAACAAATGTCTCTCTGATTTGATGAATGATATAGATGCCCTTCTTGTAAAATTTGACTGTACTGAACACAAAAAGGGCCGGTAAACTGCTAGTGGCCGGAAACTGCTAGGAAACCATATTGAGGAATATTGAAAATTGAATTAAATTGCTTAAAGTTTTAGTAATAATCGTTTGAAATGTTGTTTATTAACACACTTTCGTTTTTTTCCCTGTAGAAGTTCTCAATACGTTGGACGATATGAAATAACAGTGACCTCCCAGTCGGTCTAACTATAGAATCAGCTGTGTGTGAGTTAACTACTCACCATTCTTTTCATTTAGCAAGCCCTCATTGCCTAGGACTATTTCTGAAATAAAATATACATTATGATTATAATAATTCATATTTAGGTTCTTTTTTCATGATGAACTGTACGTTTTTTCTTCTTTTTCATTGTAGCTTACTATTACCGGGCCATGTCATTAGGTCATCAAGAGACCGGGTGCGTTGGAAAACGGTGTGCCTGCAACATAGACTTGTGTAACGGGTCCACAAGTATGCATGTTACATCCGCTCTTTTCTGGAGTTACCTGTTATCATTTTTTGCACATAAACTGTGTTTTTGATATGAAACATGGACATACTTGCATGTGATGATATGATGAAATGGCATAAATCATATTGTTAATGCATGAGTCAACAATTTTATAATATGTTATACATTTTGTGAATTTATTGATAAGGTCTGAGCATAGGTCTCGGTGAGGAGGGCCGATTTATCCTGTGCTGTACAGTAAATATATCGTTTTAACCAAAAGGGGTATTTTCCGAATGGCACAAGTGCATGTTTGGGAAAAGACATGTATCAAAACATAATAAACTATTTTTTGAAGAAAATAATTATTAGAATCCCCTTTAAAATTAGTGTGGATTTAAAATACAATGCTTTATGATGTTAGGGTTAAATAATAAGACTTTATTTACATTTTTCTAAGAGCAAACAAATAACCGTTTAAATAAATGACATATAATCAAAATTCTATCATTTGACAGTCAAGGTTATTTAAGTTCGGGGTAGGGCAGTTGCATGTATAAGGGAATGCATAATGGGGATAATGTGCTACTAAACATTTTCGGGAATTTCCAGATTAATTGTAGACATTAAACTGGCATTGTTTTCTTAACCGGTATGTTCGGGTTAATTTAGAATTATCTCCCTTTCTCATTGTGTCAAAAGAAGAAATATCTGTTGATGTTCTATTTTTCACTTTCAATAGTATGCATGTCATTTGTTATGAAAATTTTGTGTTTTACTTGATTTATTATAAACATTTATATTTATTATAAAATGATTGATTGTATACCATGACACTCATGGGTTTGTAACCCTTTGAGAATAAAAAATATTTTATCAAGAGTTATCTTCTTTGTTTGTTTGTTTCATTTTACGCCTTTTCCCAACAGTATTTCAGTCATATAGGCGGGTAGTTTCCTAACCATCGTTCCTGGGGTGAGTAACCCGAAGCTTTCGTTAAAATCACGCTAACGAAAGCGTTAGCGATCGCTTAACGAACACGTTAGTGATTTTACCGATTGTTTTTGTTGCATAACCAGAAAGCATCGTTATGTTATCGCTAATCAGTCGTTAGTAAAACTCATTAACGAAATCGTTGTGTAATCGTTAAGGGTATACACAGCATTTTGGCACCACCTGTTATTAGCTTTTCCTGCATAGATTACATTGCACGTAGAAATAATTGTTTTTAAACTGTTTATAATTTGTTTAAATTTTTTTTGTGCAAATGTGCAGCCATATACCGGTATATCAGTGAACACAACTGCTTGAAAGAAACAATTGACACTCTGTATGAATCTGTTTGTTTGTTTGTTGTTTGTTTGTTTGTTTGTGTATGTATGTATGTATGTATGTATGTATGTATGTATGTATGTATGTATGTATGCATGTATGTATGTATGTATGCCATACGTTCGCCGTAAAACGAATCTAAAGAAAGCAATTCTAAGTCTTCGGATATACAATACAGAACAGAACATTATTTTATTTTGACATGTACATAGTACATAATCATACTAAATGTGATGATACATTGATAGTAATGCATCAACAATACAATTTCAATACTAATTTTCAATGATTTTTAAAATAAACTTTGGAGATAATGTCACGTTACATTTTAATGGCGTTATATATAGTACGAGCTTCAGTAATTATACTAGAACGTTATTTCAAATCAACCAAAATTGATATTATAGTGTTGAGGATAAACTGTTTTAAACGTAATTTAATATGCATTTTTATATAACAGATTTATCATCAGAAAAATTCTACAAGTTACATAAAAATGTTAAATGGAATTTGTATGTTCATTATATAAAGACATATATATTCATTAATCAAATTTATCAATACAATACAATACAAAGCAATACAATAACGTTTATTTGCTTTAAACATTAAACAACGTTTCTAGCAAAAACTATAGATGAGAAATACTGTTACATGAACATAATTACAACTGAACATTTTGGATTTGTAACAAAAAACAAAAGGAGAGACTAGATATAAGTTCATTGCCTCATCTTTAACATGTAGAATATTTCGGTATGTGTGTGATGAAATAGAGTAGTACACTATTTAAGAGTAAATGTTAAAGTGCAAAGTAAATAAAAATCAATAAAATTTGGATACTTTTTGAGACAAATATACAGTGAATTATCTCCTCGATAAAATGCTATATATATACATACATCTTGATTTGATATTTCTTTTTGATGAAAAATAAATAAAGATTTATAAACAATTTTAGAGAAAATGTTAATCATCTTTCCTTTTAAAGGCAAAGTATACATTTTTTTATAAATTTGAATCATTTTTTAAGAATAAGGTAATAAAATAGTTTCAAACTTTATGATTGTTGGCCAATGGCAATAATATCTTCGCTAATATCTTAATCGATGCTTATAGAAATATTGACGCTAAATAGCATCGTGATTTTTGTTTTGATTTAAAGGATGCAAATGGAGAATTGAACTGCTTTTTCTGTAAAACTTTCTTTACATAACCTTTGTTACACACTGGTGAAAATATTTAATAAACCTTCGTATGTTGCTAGCTTGAAAATTACATGGGAAACAAAGAAAGTTTCGATTAATAAACTCTACTTTTCATGAAAAGAGAGGTTAACCATTAATTTAAAATATTTGAAAGATATATAATGTTTTGTTTTTTTAATATAAACCGCTGAATTTCATATATAACCAAACACGTCAAAATATATCCATATACTGTGTTACACTCTTTCATTGTACATGAATGTCTTTATGCTGAATTCTTTAATTTCACTTTGTATATAGAACTAGTATAAGGTATAAGTATTTTAAGTATTAAAAAATTGAAACTTTAATGTAATATCATATCTATTTAATTTCATACATGAAAGAATGTGATGTATTGCTTAACATGCAATACAAATAGTGTTTGCTTGTTTTGAGATATATAAGAAAGAATACTATTACATGAGATAACTAAGGCGATTAACAGGTCACTTTGTATTCTCTATGTCAGTTGGTGAAATTAATCAACCTCCTTAGAAGCATTCAAACATATAAGTGTCCAAAGTCTATCAAAATACTCTAGCAGCATGGCGGCCATTGTCTGCGGAATGAAAAAAACAACATCACTTGTATACAGATATTTGGAATTATTCTTAAAATCATTTACGAAAGAAATGCTCACTTAAGTTTAATGAGTACGGTTACGTTTTATTTTGAAAATGAATGCAGTCATACTACTACTACTACGAATAATAATAATAATAATAATAATAATAAAATAATAATTATAATAAAATTATAATAATAATTATGATAGTAATAATGATAATAATGATAATAATAATGATAAATAAATTAATAGATAATAACTTTACATATTAAGAGATTTACATATTGTAACATCATAACAAGGACTTATTATCAAGAAAATAGGAAGAAAATACGTGATATAAATAATACATACTCATAAAAAGTTTGTTGAAAGAGCTTCAGACGTTGTTTTTCCCTCAACGAAGGTCTAACGTGTACAACGAGGTGGTCGTTATTTTACGACAGTTTCGTTAGTATTTTTGGTATAACGAACGTTTCGGGTTAGAGGGTGAATTACTAACTAGAGCTTAACCAAGGCCTAACGATGATCGTAACTCTAACGAATGCTTCTAGTTACTCACCCCAGTGGAGAGTTACACCAGTACTAGACTACCTTCCTCCGCGCTAAACTACCAAAGCATCTCCCGGGGAACGAACCCACGCCAGAGAGATAACTGGATTAGAAGTCATCGACTCTAACCCCTCGACCACGGAGGCGGTTGTAATCTTCTTTATGTATTATGGAAGGCACGTTACCTCTTACAGGGTAGACGTGTGTTTCATAATTGCTCGAGAGTTTTTAGCGATATTTCCTAACGAATGAAGCAACATTTTGTCATAAAAGTAATATAATGTAAAGTGGTATTCTGACTCCCATACAAAATCACTACAACTGTAATAATTCCAAAATGCATATAAAGAAAGAGATGATTTAGCTAAAATTATTATAAACAAGTTATTCATTGAAAACCGTAATTAGGCACCAGAAAAAAACAACAACACAAAATAGGGTTATATTATTTTTTTGGGTTACTGGGCATTTTAATCGACATCAATTACTAGTCTTGTTGCGCTGAAGACCGTAACATTCTTTTCATTTTTATAACGAACGCACGTTCAGCTTGAGAGGTTGTAAAAGCAAAGAAACCACAGTGATACAGTCTTAGATAATTTGGCTTAGTTCTGGTTATGTTAGTTTAATCTACCGGTATGTGTTCTTTTTATCTATGTCCATATTTTTTGCACGGCAGCCTGTGTGTTATACTTTAAAATAAAATAAAAAATGATGTATCCACTGTATTCATTTGGACTCAAAGTAGTGGTCTCAGTGGGCTTTAGTCACGTAAACGTAGCGTATTCTATAACATGTACAAAATGTATAACAAGCGATGTTTACGCACGCGCAAAATGGCTCTTTAATTGTGTACTGCATACCTTTACTACGTAAAATTACTATTAAAGAGGAAGCAAAACGATTTACGTCGTACCAGTAGTATTCGTTTTATGCTGAATAACCATGTTCACTCTGTTTTTTTTTACTATTCTTCTATTTTTAGAACTGACGGCAGTTTTGTTTAATATACAACAATATCGTGACAGTCGTAACAATGGCGTTACAATAATTGAAACGCACCTGAAATAAGATAAAAATAATACAATAATATTATGTTCCAGATCGCTCCAAATGATATTTAATAATGTTAATGTCTATTTGCACATACGAAACATAAATATTTATAGGTCGTGGTTAATATATTTGGAGTACTGCAGTATGGGGTAAGTGATTGCGACCAATTTATTTTGTAAATACGTACTGATAAATTTTAACCAGCTTAGTATTTTAAATCATTTTTATAAAAAGTCGATTTACTTGACTGATTAACAGTTTGCCGATTTACCAAAGTAAATTTGTTATGATTCATTTGAAATACTACAATCCTATTGGACAAAAAACATTTTCAAACACTAAGAAGAATAAAGTCATTTGAATAAAGGCATTAAAATTTTGAATAAAAGTGTACTTTATAGACACACCAAGTTGCAAACTTAAAACTTACGAGGAATGACACTCAAAAGGGTGTCTTCAACAAAAATGAGAAGGATTAGTGTCAGATGTATACCGCACCTCCTTACATGAGAGCAAAAGCTTGCTCGATTAAGAATCTCTAAACAATTATTGAAACAGTTCCCTAAAAACAACAATCTTTCGCAAATACATCATCACTGGCAATGAAAGTGGGTTCACTTTTAAGAGCCCAAGCTAAAGATACATAACAAAATATGGACCACCAAAGAAAGACAGAGACCTTGCATATCTATAAACGCACCATGAGTCTCAAAAACGTCATGTATGTAATTTTATTTCCCAATCATGGTCCTGTTTTTCAAATTGCCGGACCAAAGGCTAAATCTGTTAATACCAAGGTCCTTCATAAATTATAGAAATATTTCAAAAATCGCCGACTAGCAACTGTTCTCCGTGGTGTCAGGTTGTTGAATGACAATGCTTCTTCATACAAAGCGGCCACTGTACGAGAATATCTGAAACAGAAAAAAGGTTGCCGAGCTTCCTCATTCTCCTTATTCGGCAGATCTTGCCCCATGAGACTTTTCCCTATTTCCGAGGCTCAAAAATCACCTTGCTTGAAGAGAATATCAAACTCGAAAACATATCGGTTTTTCTTTGCAACCGTAGAAATACCTCTAAAAATGATGCAAAATGTTTCTTAACATGACAAAATTGAAATCCCCTTTAAAATTCTTGTGGCTTCATTTAGCAATGTCATTCGTTGTAAGGGTTAAATAATAACGTGCAAACGCGCACGCAATAAATAAGATATTTTCCTACGCCCATCTTTGTGTCATGAATTTTTTTTTTCACTGAATGATATACTTTGAATTTAAAGAAGAGGGAGTAGCTAGATAATCGGGATTGGTTCCATTGTTTATCAAAAATGTTCATATAATGCTCTTAATAAGATAAGATCTTGTTCTTATTCTAACCTTTAAAGTTATTGGACTTCTTTTAACAAAAAAGCTGGTTGAAATATCTATTACGCATTTTTTTTCTATCTTGTCCTGGGTTTTATTTTAGAACATGCTTATCGGTATCGGTATCCCGAAATGAAGACATTTAAAAGGCCCTTTTAGCCAGTGAAATAATATCAATTTGTAATTCTCAAAACATTTTTTTAAAACATATTTTGGTATCTTATTACAGTTTCCAAAAATTATTCATTGGCCATATATATGAACTATCTTTCCTTTTTTGCTCTTTGGCAATAGGCATTATTATACTGAGTTAGTATTACACATGTTTGGAAGTCAAAATACTACTTTGTTTACATTTTGATACCTTAATAACACATTACTGTATATTTATTGCTATTTCCTACAGTTGTTTAACATTTAAGATGCTTTTCATTCATTATCGAAATATTATTAAACACAGATCTGACCTGTCTAAATAATAAAAAAAAATATTGATTTCCGAAGCATAATATGCTTTAAGTAAATTCCATTAATAAAATGCATGCGCATGTGATAGTTTCCACATGCGCAAGTAATAACTAACGCTGGTATTGGATAACGCAAAAGAAAGTGAACAGTGAACACGTGTGCACATTAATTGTACTTATACGTTGACATGGCATGGATATTTTCGATTTTCTCTCCTTGCAACCGTAAAAATGATAATGCAAAACGTTTCTCAACATGACAAAAATGGAATCCCTTCAAAAATTCTTGTGGCTTCAATTAGCAATGTCATTCGTTGTTAGGGTTAAAAAATAACATGCACACGCGCATAAAATAAATATTTTTCTCTGCCCCTCTCTGTGTCATTATTTTCTCACAGAATGACGTGGTCCTGTTTTAATTATAAAAATTCGTTGCGAGTTTTACATTCTTTTCAAAACCAATAAATTTTAAGATAAAGAAAATGAGGTATGCAATCGGGATTGGTTCCATTGTTTATCAAAAATGTTCATATAATGCTCTTACTAAGATACGATCTGGTTCCAGTTCTTTAAAGTTATTTAAAGCTGGTTGACATACTGATTACGCAATTTTTCTTGCGCTCTTTTAGTTAGTATGCAACAAGCATTGCACTGGACAAGATGGACTCAGCCAAGGTGTTGATAACTTTTGCCATACTTTCTTGTTATATAGCAGGTAAGATTTATTAATATTTTCTATTAACAAAAAAAAAGACCCGTTCATGCTGCTTTTGTAATAGGAAATGTATAGCTTCACTGTGAGCAACTTTTTCTCAAACATAAATTCGGCATAACAATAGTTTTTCCACCCATCTGCTGAGCAGTTAAAAGTGAAACATTCCATGAGAAAATAAGTCTAAAGATACATTAATGGTCAGCTAAAGCTACATGCCTTCAGATGTGTCAATGTATTTCAAGAAATAATAATGAACTTATTATATAAACTTTTGTGGTATTTGTCACCCAGTAAATGTTATTTCGGCACAGTTTGACCTAGGTTATTTCGGCACATTTTTGACCTTTTTTTCCTTATTTGCGGGTGTGTGTGGGGGGGTTAATTTACGTGGTTGTTAGTGCTCTTGGCAATTTGTAAAATCTTCATTTGTTCAATGGCAAATTAAATTTACCATTCTGACAAGAATAGTGTGTAATTTCTCATATGTTACCTCATCATGAACACATACCATTATTATAAAATTATTTTCTTCTCAGTGTCTGTTACAAGTAAAATGGTTTCCTGCGGTGAACATTTTAATGATAAAAAGATATTTCATTTAACTATTTTCAACATTATTTGGGGGTGGGGGGATAAATAAACGTTTGTATCAGGAATAAAGTTGACAATTAAATAAACGATCAATATAGAAGAAGGTCTTTGGAAACTGGTGACCGTTGAAGACCGGAGAAGGTCGAACATAAAACAATTATTTCTTTTTAAGAAAAATGATTAAATAGGCCTACCATTTTATGAATTATTCCGAGCAAAATATAAATCAAGTAAACACACAAGTTCACGCAGAAAATATCTCTATTTATTATGGCAGATGCCACTACGAATATTTTAATTTTGTAGATTTTCAGTGTAAAGAATTTATTGTTTGTAAAATTTGAGATAGATATTAAAGAAACATATTGATAATTTTCAAACACATCATTCAAGTTTTTCCACCTTAAACGGTAAAATAATTATAGAAAATTAGAAATATCACGCAGTAGTTTTTTTTGTTCTTAATTAGGTGTAATTCGGACTAATTCCCTTCAGGCAAATCCGTAACGTACCGGCAAACGTTATTTAGCTAGGTTTTCGAAAAGGTCAATTAACCAATCGTGTCCGATTTACAGATCACATGCTCCTCCATGTACCAAAAACAGGTCACATGCTCCTCCATGCCTCAAAAGTTAAACGCGTACCAATACCCTGCGTCTCCAGACCGCAGGGAATAATGATTATTGGCGTCCGCGCCGAAGCGCGGCGCCCTTTATGGAATGAAATCAGATTTTGTGAAAGGGCGACAGCAACTTCTCGAGCCTTTTAGTCGGTCATAATAAAAGCCGATCATTCCGATCGGTATGAGGGTGCTTGATTATTACTAATTAAAAATGAAATGTCGCGATATGTACAATGAATAGCAAACTGGAGAATTTCGCAATGCTACCATTTTCAAATGAAATAACCTTTTCCGTCTCTTCGGGGTTTTTTTATTTATCATTTTGTAGTACACAGTGGGTTATTATGGTATGTTAAAATAGAATGATGACGAAAATCTATTTATAGAGGGATGTACTCCTATCGGTAATTCCCGTTCTCTCCAGGTCTATTTCGACCGGGATTTACTAGTGACCGGCGAATAATACCACACGTTTATTGTCCGGTCTCTCCCGGTTTTGGAGTAGATGTTTAATATCGTTACATAACAGTACAAATATTTTACAGATAAATAAGCTTTTATCCAAAATGAATGTTTGTCACTTAGTTTGGTTACAATAATTAATAAACATAGATCAGCTCTCAAATTCATTGATTACTATTGAACATAAACATACAATTCGAGAAAAAACCACCACCAACAACAACAATAGCTGTTCCATTTTATCTATATGAGATAAAAACAATAAATATGTACAATAATTGAGAAAAAGGCTACATTTTTATGGTATTAATATGACTACGAATTTATATTAAAATAGATATTACAATATTGTATAATAAACAATTATGCTCAACATGATCAACATGGTAATATAACAAGTGTCATATTTTTTTACTAAGTGTGAACAGATAACTTAAGAGGGGGTCTTTGCTTATAGCGATAACATAATAAGGGACAATTCCACAAGTGTTACACATATGGATTATAAATGATTGTACATGTATACATGTATATCTGTTGCTACTAATAATCACGATCATAAAGAAATAACAAGTAATATTCTTATCTCTAGCATACCAATCAAAGTTCATAATGAACAATGTCTTTCGTCCGTTCATTCTGGTAAAAAACAATTAACCATTGAAAAGTTTATAAGAATATCTTGTCATCATATGTCTACTAGTTCTTCTTCACTTTCTGCATTTCTTGCTTGGACGCCCTTTGATGCTTTGCATCAATGCTTTTCTTGTTATTCCTTAGAACACCTTGGGATTAAGGCATATGTTTCATTGCGCCATGTTTTGTTTTATCGTGATTTGTTCTGAAAAAGTAACCATCTGATCTCGTGTAACTTAAATTAAACAACAAATCAATCAATCTTCAATTTAACTGTATGATAAAGCCGTTTTTAAAATAAATATCCATGTATAAACATATATATTTTAGCTGTCGAGGGCTGTGGACGTACACTAAGGTGTTACAGATGTAACTCTTTGGATTCACCGGCCACGTGTGGTGAGAGGAACTTTAATGCTGACGCACACAAAGGTGACATCATCAGTGGAAACGACTTTTTCATGAGCTGTACACATGGTTATACTGAAACTGATAAGGGAGCCTGTAAGTATGCTTTTGTATCATAGTTTGGGGACCGTTCTGTTGAAAATGTGTCAGAGTATAATCTTATACATATACATGCACCGTGCAATAACTGGAGTGCAGGTATTAGTTACCCGCACTCCTGAGCATGCCCATTGATTTGCTCTTTTTTACTGGGGTTACTTATTGTGACGACAAAGAAAGGTATGACGATAGAAAAGCCACATTCAGATGCTTGCTCATTGTTTACTTTTTCTGGGGGTTTCATATTGTGACAACAGGGAACGTGTTTTTATTTTTGAATATGATACAAAATAGAAAACATCAATAGGTTTTAAATAAGACATGTATAAAGTTTATTCCGTTTAATGTGTGTGACTGAAAGAAAAAAATCTTGATTTTTCTCAATATCTGAATTTGTTACACAAAATACATTCAAGAAAAAAATTCAAAGTAATGTGATCATATCGGTTAATCCCGGTCTTTTCCCTGTGTAATGAAGATCAAATAAAGTCTGGATCTCCAACAGGAATCAAATTGGTTCATTAGTTGTCCGGTCCCTAGCATGTATTGTAAATATATATGTGTGTATTATATATGTGTGTATACAAATGGTAGGTAGATTCTAATCCAAATTTATATTCTCGCCAAAGTTAAATAAAATTTACGCAATAAAATACTTGTAAATGCAGGATAGATAGATTGTATTGATAAGACAGTCTTGGGTTGTGATACATTTAACGAAATAAATGTATGTTTTTATTTTAGTATACTATTATCGGAGCACATCCACCCGCCATCTTGATGACGGATTGGTTGGAAGAAGATGGGCCTGCAACGAAGACCTTTGTAACGAGTCAACGGGAATGTTTATAGCCTCCAACTTTCTCTTCTGCTACCTGATGTCAGTTATTGCACTTATAATGGTAGTATGAATTAGAGGAAAAAAAGAATTCAAGCGATTTCAAACCGATTAAGATGATGCAAATGAAATGACATATTTCCAATATGCTATGCACATATTGTATAAGAAAGTAAACAATTTTATATAATGTAAATTTTTATTGATAAACTACGTAAAAGCAGACGCATAAATAAAATAATAAATCTAAAGAGTTGATTTATTCTATGTATTGTTATGTAAATATATTATTCTTATTACAATTGCCACAAAATTTATATGAGTTGTGATGACAACAGCCCGTGATAAACTTATATCATTTATACCGCTTATATGAAAATAGTAACCAACAATTTTTATTGTTGCTTTTTGACTATCTAAATAAAATTGTGTTGTTAGTAATACAATGCTCTTTACCCCAACGATCAAATGTTCGCGAAATTCCCGATCACTATGATTGCACGAAAGTTTGTAACAAAGGGCAATAATTATGTAATTACTTTAGATAGAGTTATGGTTCTTGTGCGCTGTACTTCCCCTTATTGTGCTTCACAATTGTATGAAGTCGTTTTGAATTCCAACCAGTAGTTTTCAAGTTATGCTCCAGACAAGGAAAAGTAACAAAGGGCAATAACTCTGTAATTAGTCAAGATGGAGTTATGGTTCTTGTGCACTGCACTTCCTCTGAATGTGCTTGACCACTGTATGAAGTTATATTGAATTCCAATCATTACTCTTCAAGTTATGCTCCGGACAAGGAAAATGCAACGGACGGCTGGACCGACCAACGGGCGACTCCTGTATACACCCCAAACTTCTGTTTCGGGGGTATAAAAATTGAAAAATACAGTTAAAAAACATCTATCGAGTTTATTCATGAAGACATTGTAATATCCCCGGCACCGACTAAGACAGTATTCAATCATCTACCATTGACACTATGATAGCCGACTTTAACATTCCTCTTTGGACGAAATCACCAGTGGTGACGAAAGTTACGTTAAAGACTTCTGTCACTTTGTCACTGAATGCTTTGGTACTAAAATTACCCACATTCTAAATTCTTGTAAAAGCCTGACAAAATGTTAATCCTGCAGAGGGGTCATAGCTCGTGTTTTTTTTTCCGGGGAAAAGTGGCATACATTGTATGTCCAAGGCCTTACCAACAACACATTACATATAAACTCCAAAGGTCAGAAATACAAGACAACATGTATATCTTCATATAAATGTCTGATTTATTTAGTAAGTCAATAACAAAAGTTCAATCTTGGCATCAATTGCTGAGGATTTCAGCAATTGTTGATACAACATTCATCATTCTTGCGATGAAAAGAAAATCAATATTAATCATTTCTTATATAAACTTCACAGTTGTACATATGAAAGAATTTGAGAGACGATTTAATTCACATACATGTATTAAAAACACCTTCATAATAGTAATTAAGCTACCCCAAAATTGTTCTTTGAACAGTGGAATAAGAATCATTAATTCTTTAAAAAAGGAAACTTAATTCAATATTTCTTTCCTTTTTGTAAAATTTCATAAAAAAACAAACAATTTTATAACAAAAAATATACTTAGTTTATATACTGATATAAGCAAATGAGCAAAATAATGTATATTTAAGTGACACTTTTTCCTAATTCAAACAATATAAAAAATGTACATGTAACTCCATGTACATATTGGCCCGATTAAATAATTTGTGTGGTTGGTTTTTACGATTTTAACACATTTTCGGTCATATCTCAGTGCACTTTTGACCTAACCGATTTTCCTTGATTTCCTGTGATTATCCTATGAAAAGTGTCACCAATATTATTTTTTTATATAACCAGGTTTTAGTAAAACAGATTTAACCTGTATCATGTTACATATAAAGTGCAACCTCTGCAAAACATCACCCTTTGGGAGAAAATGATTTTAACCGTTCCCAAGGTGTTTGCTCTGGAGAGGTTGAATATGCTAAGAAATCTTTCTTTTGGAAAGAACGTTACATTGTTATAAAGAGGCTATTGCTCTGCAGAGGGGGTCTCTCTGCAGAGGTAACACTGTATTACCAAAATAACAAAAAAGCATAGACGCAATGCATTAATTACAGAAAAAGATAACTAATGTTTGTCATCATATTTTACAAATATACAACAGACATAATTGTGACATAATTAGATTAAAATACTATTGAAGCATGCCCTTAAACATCGTCAGTTACCCACGGTATATGTTCGGTATATATTCCGTACATACTACATTCTATAGATAATGTAGTATGTACGGAATATATACCGTGGGTAACAGACAATTGCCCTTTTACTACATATACTTAGTAATTCATAACGTGCAATTCGTTTTTCAAGAAATATAATAAATGGTTGGATGATAATACTACCCGATTTCCCTGGTTTTATTGAATCAAATATCGTATATTATCACAACCATCAACATGCAAAATGAACTAAAAATGTACATAATAAAATATGACTAAAAAAATCGCATACATTACCTTGAACTAAATTTCAACGTTGATCTCATAATTCAGATTAATATGTTCCAGATACTAATCATAGTAATATGCTAAGTAATGTTCAATCAGGTCCAATTACAAAACAGTAACTGACCAAAAAAGCAGTACAAACTAATGAAATGAAACAACCATTGAAAAAGGCTAATGCATACTCGAATTCAGGTTTAAATTTGTTTCAACCGTAATTTGTTCCTCTCATTTTACTTACTGTAGTTAAAAATCAAGATTAACACAAAGATACAGGGATTTACATCGCTTTCAATTTACAGGAATCAAATGGATGCAGGCTCTTTGGAACCATAATTAAACGGGTCCAACCAATAACTGAAGACGTCCAACATCTAATTCAAGCAGTCTGAAGCCAGATAACACCGTAGGACTTACTGATTATATCTTACATGTAGCAAACACTACTTCAAGGTTTTTTTTATGATGATAAGCAATAATTATGAAGCCAGCATAACAATGAAGTACAAAAAAATCAAATGTCTTTACCAAAAATGCCTTAAAAATCTTCCAAGTATTTCGTACTTCAACATGATATTGAACTTGGTGTATTGAAAGAAATCTTAAGAAAAAAAAAGATTCGAAAAACAAACAACCATACAAAATGTTCAAAGCATACTTAACATGTATTAACAATTTACTAATTCTACTACTTAAACCCACTCTGTTAATCATTAATTCACATCAACACCTACTACATGTACAATATACAACACAGACACACTAATGAAAACTTAACATGAAATTTCAGTACAGACAGGAAAAAGTCCGGTTTTGTTGAAATTTCATCCCATGTGAATGGAAATCTGATGGTTGCAAACAGTTTTAATATAGAATCAAAATAACACAAACATTTCTTTTGTCACAACTTAATATACCTTAACAAATCTAAATATACCTTGACAAATAACCACTCTTGTTATCACAGTTAATATTTCATAATAAAAGTTTTTATAAAGTGCATAATATACATGTATATCAATTAATTGTATTTTGCAGTTTTACCATGCCAGTTTTGAAGCCTATATAAACCACTTGACAATACTTCAACATCAATAGCAAGCAAAATCATCACTCTGTTAACATGGCCGCAAAAAGAGGAATTTTTGTGTTTCCATGTCAAACATCAGTTTTAAGTATGTTAATTGATGTAGTTACTAGGCACCTGGTTCCTATGGTTACAATTCTATTTTTATGACATCATCTTGCCATATCCATGGTTACATGGTCTCCATAGTTACAGCTTACAATCTCACAGTTTCCATGGTTACATTGTCTCCATGGTAACAGCTTACAATCTTAGTTTCCATGGTTACATGGTCTCCATAGTGACAGCTTACAATCTCAAAAGTTTCCATGGTTACATGGTCTCCATAGTGACAGCTTACAATCTAAAAGTTTCCATGGTTACCATAGTGACAGCTTACAATCTAAAAGTTTCCATGGTTACATGGTCTCCATAGTTACAGCTTACAATCTCACAGTTTCCATGGTTACTTGGTCTCCATAGTTACAGTTCAACTGTCAGTGACATCATCTTTGCTATTTCCATGGTAACCCTGTATCCATAGTAACACCTCTACTTTCAATGTAATATAAATGTAATTTTTTTCCATTTCTAAAGTTACATTTGTGAGAAACTGGCTGGTAGAGGTATTCCTAGTGTTTGGGCAGCCTGAAGTTGTGCTTTAGCCGCATGAAGGAGTGAGAAGAGATGTGACATTTCATTCTCTGTTCTGCACAGATCTATGGCCTTCTCAAACAGATTTACTGCATTTACCATATCACCCCTGATTGAATAAAATGGAAAAGAAAATACATAATAAGCAATACATTTACAGATACCCAAGATGAATAAAATAACAACATAAAATGTGATTTGATTTCTAAAATTAACTCGAGGAAAACTTTATATATTTGTTAGGTTTTACATAGCACTAACACAGTATAGGTTGTATGGTGATTTTCCAGCTTTACTGGTGGAGGAAGACCTCAGATGCTCTTCCGTTATTATTTCAGGCACAAAGTGATAATTTAGTAGAATCACTGCCGTTCCATAAGCTAGCTGAATAACTTCCTGACATGAAGGAATCCTACATTCCTCTGTACATTTTTTTAGGCACAAACGGGCACCTGAATAAAACCACCTAGCTGGATAGCTTCCTTATATGAAAGAATCCCAAGTTCCTGTCAGGATTCGAACCAACAGCTGAGTGAAAAGAGGGTTGAACCAAAGACACCCCCTAGTTAATACTTTATGCATGCATGTACAAGTGAACTATCTAAAGATTATAACAAAATTTAGATACACATGCAATTTAAGTTGTGACGTTGTGATTAAAGTCTGCCAGAAAATCTTCAGATAACGTTCCAACAAAATTTTTCCAGGGGTGATGTATCATCATATGTCAAAAGTACACAATTAGTCAAGCAAACACATAAATAGTTTAAGGCCACTTTAAAACAAAAGTTAACAGTTTATAAGACATTACCCTGTCGTTATACCACTTATATGACATCACCCCAAAATACTGACAACAGTTCCCTCTGATACATAAGGCTAATTTTTCAAAGGCCTTCCATCAGACTTTATCTTAGTACTTAACCAACTATATAACTTAGATTTAATTTACCTTTGAACTTCAATAGTTCCTAAAATTTCATAGGCATATTCACATTTGTCGTCTAAATCTATCGCCTGTTTAATTAATGCTACAGGTTCCTCTATATTGTGCTTCCATTGTAACTTTAACAACCTATAAGAAATAAATTAACATAGTCAGTCAGATATTGACGTTGCACCCACACAGTATATGTCCTATGGGGACTTTCCAGCTTTACTTGTGGAGGAAGACCTTAGAAGCCCTTCCGTACTTTATTTCAGGCATGAATTGGCACCAGAGTAGAACTACTGCCATTCTGTAAGCTAATTTGGTAGCTTCCTCGCCTGAAAGATTCCAAAGTTCGGATTCCAACCCACAACAGTGAGGGGCAAGAAGTTTGAAGTAAAGGATTAAGTACTGGACCAAGGATGTCCCGTTCTTTTAACTAATATTCATACAAAATTCAAGGTAAGCTACATATCTGTAGAATTCCACCGGCTGTGTTACACTTCTTGCACATTAAATATCCATAAAAATGTCCATGTACAAATGAAACAATAAAATGGATTAAAATACTTATTACTTCTTTTTCTCTTATTAAATTCTCATTCATGAATCACTGACTAGTTATAACAATATAAAAGTATCTTATTCCAAGAGAACAAAAACAAAGGAGATACTTACGCTCTATGCACTAGAGTATTGGCATTGTCAGGTTCTAGTTTAATGGCTGTTTCAAACTCATTATCAGCATCGTCAAACCTTCCAAGATCACATAATGCCTAGACAATCAACGAAATACATAATGTAACACATTCAAACCACATTTTCGTAATGGAATCATTTTTGATTTGCTTCTGTTAATTTATTTATAATTATAATTATTATTACAAGTGAGAGGCCAGAAGTGAAGAGCCTGATCAGACTACATATTAGTTTGTGCTAATGGTTTGTTTACCCACAACGCCAGAATTTTTACCACACAGACGAGCATAGAATTTTTTGTAACAGACTTAATAAATAAGGGAATATTTATTCAATAATTGGTGCTATGTGTTTACATTTTGTACCATAATTCCTAGAAGTGCAGGTTGGGCTGGCTGTTTACTGGAGGCAAAGACCCTAACATTTAGAGGTTTAATGGACTAAACATATTTTAAACTTTCATTTCTCTCAGTCCTTCCATTCCAAAACTTATAGGAATAAAATCTGAAGAGTTTTTTTTCTAATTATTTATCTTAAAGAGAAACTTCATCCAGATTTCCCAGCTTTCAGAGTGTTAATGAAGTAATCATTCTTTGTATATGGACTTTTTTAAGCTCTGTATAAATAATTCATTTCACATTAACTATTTTATCCTCAACAAGACTCTCTTTCAAAGTTCAAAATAATATATCAAAAATATTTCTGTTTCTAAATATCTATTTCAATAAAATCTTTAACTTGCCAATGTTAATGTCTTATTAATGAAAATGCAGAAAGAGTATACACAATCAGATCCTTCTTATCATGTGTGTTTGAAATTAGTCTATACATTTAAATCCTTACCACACAAAATACATAACATAGACTTGTCCACCTTTTAATCAGAACATAATTAACCATCAATCATTTCTAGAGAAAATTTCAAAATATTTACAGAATGCGTAAAAGAATAGCAAACAGTGCAGACAGCAGACCATGGTCAGACAGCATAGATGTTGCTGTCAGCAAACTAGAAGTATATATATAGAAGACAAGAGGGCCATGATGGCCCTGAGTCGCTCACCAGAAACAACTGCTTTTCAGTGTGGTATGTCAATATATTCTAATATTAAATTTGAGCATAGAATATATTTAAACAATAATTTAAAGAAATGCCATGAACTGGGGTATTTAAGCTTTAGCTTTAATAGGGCTTATCAAATTAATATGAGCAAACTTGATAAAAGACTACCTAAGAATGCTACAAAGTTTGGTGATCATCTATCAATTATTTCAGTAGGAAATGACTTTCGAAGGTTTTTTCAATTTTTAGCTTTAGTGGCCCCTAAAAGAGGCTAAATAAATTAATAAACTTGATAAAAGAGTACGGCATAGATGATAGAAGATATTTAAAGGTTTTCTATTTTTAGCCCAAGAGACCCCTAAAAGGGGCCAATCAAATTAGTATGAGCAAACTTGATAAAAGATTACCCAAAAATGCTACAGAGTTTGGTGATCATCCATCAATTAGTTCTGCAGCAGAAGATGTTTAAACGTATTTCTATTTTTAATTTTAGCGGCCCCTAAAAGGGGCCAATCAAAATAATATGAGCAAACTTGATAAAAGACTACCCAATAATGCTTCAGACAAAGTTTGGTGATCATCCATCCATTAGTTCTGTAGAAATAGACATCATTTAAAGGTATTTCTTTTTTTAGCTTAAGCCAAAAGGGGCCAATAAAATTAATATGAGCAAACTTGATAAAACACTACCCACTACAAAGTTTGGTGATCATCCATCAATTAGTTCTGCAGGAGAAGATGTTTAAAGGTTTTTCTATTTTTATTCCTAGAGACCCCTAAAAGGGGCCAATCAAAATAATATTAGCAAACTTGATAAAAGACTACCTAAGAATGCTACAGACAAAGTTTGGTGATCATCCATCAATTAGTTCTGTAGAAATAGACGTTTAAATGTTTTTCTATTTTTAGCTTTAGCAGCCCCTAAAAGGGGCCAATCAAATTAACATGAGCAAACTTGATAAAACACTACCCAAGAATGCTACAGACAAAGTTTGTTGATCATCCATCCATTAGTTCTGTAGAAGATGTTTAAATGTTTTCTATTTTTAGCCCTAGAGACCCCTAAAAGGGGCCAATCAAATTAATATGAGCAAACTTGATAAAAGACTACCCAAGAATGCTACAGACAAAGTTTGGTGATCATCCATCCATTAGTTCTGTAGAAGAAGATGTTTAAAGGTTTTTCTACTTTTAGCTCTGCTGACCCCTAAAAGGGGCCAATTGGAATGACATGAGCAAATTCAAGTGTGACTGTCACAAGGATGCTACAGACCAAATTTAAAGTAAATCTGCTTAGTAGTTTCGGAGAAGAAGACGATTGTTGACGCATGATGAAGGACGCCGGAGCATTCCCCTTTGATACTAATAGCTCACCCTGAGCCTTCGGCTTTGGTGAGCTAAAAATCCAATGTTAAAAGTATGGAGGTTTCTTTTTCTGCCAAGTATACTTAAGATTTTGTATTTCTGTTAAGTCCCTACAATTTTTACCTGTGCATATAATGCGTGACCATCAGCGTTATCTGGAAACCGTTTTAAAGTGTCTTCATAAGATTTAATGGCTTTTTCTAACTTCATTGTGCTTTGCTCTGCAGCAGCTCTCCTATGTTCTGAAACACAATAAATCTGTTTACTTTTTTTTGTTCGGTTTTAACAGCGCACCAACACAGTCAAGGTCACATGGCAATTTGCCACTTATTGGTAGAACAAGACTGGGTCGGTGCATTATTTCAAGCATAAACAGGTATCCCAGTAGAACCACTTACATTCCATAAGCTAGCTCAACAGCTTCCTCAAATTAAAGAATCCAAAGTCCCTTGCAGGATTCGAAACCACAGCGGTGAGGGGCAAGTTGTTTGAAGTCAACGACATTTACCGATCGGCCACTGATGCAATGCCACAAATTGTGATATATTCAAATGGTTTGAAATCAATGTTGCCAACTGGCTATAAAAACACATACTTCGATGTGAAGAAATCATTACTAAACAACATAACGTGTAAGCTATTTTGGTTAAATTTTGTTTTAAAAATAATCAATAATTAAATTGACCATGACAATGAGAACTATATGAAATGCAGGAAAGGGAAATCAGAGTCAGTACAATTCTCAAATTACATGATCTCCATTGATTTTCGATGATATTTAGACGAGATTGTGTGATATTTTCCTCCATGTGTCATAGTAAAAATAAATCTGAAAATCTTAGCCTGAAAAACATCTATTTTGTCCTTGAAAGTACTTATATGGCTATTTAAAGCATGCTTTTAACCACAAGTAATAAAATGATTGCCTCTGATATTCACATTTCAATTCAGTGCCTTAAAAAGGTTGTCCAGGCAGATATATAAAATTCCACTGTAAATTTGGGAAATTCCACATATTTCCATATATTCTTACCTGCGTAAGATTTCTGAATGTATGAATTTGGAAAGTCTGGGTTTAGTTCAATGCTGCTCTCAAAATCTTTTATTGCATCTTCTAATCTATCAAGCTGGATATTTTGCTGAAAAGGAGAAGAAGAACATGTACATAGAGGGTATTAGAGTGTAGATTTAATACTAAATTTACTGAACAAGTTATATTTCTATTCAACAAGTTCACTAAATTTATTTTTTGATCTACACAAATATAAAATTCTTTTTATCACATATACAAATTAATAAAGTTTTAGTTAAAAAAAAGTCACTGTTCATCAACATGCCTATAATGTAACACTAAATTAAGCTCGCTTTTACACTATGTTTATCCATAATTCTGTCAAAATCATTGTCAGACAGTGACCTCCTATCATGCTCTCAAAGTGAGTGTATGAAGTTTCAATCTATTCCATTCAGTTGTTTGGGAGATAGCAACTTGCATGCAAAAACTTAACCAAAGTGTGATGGCAACACCGACACCAATGTCTGGTTGAGTACAGAAGCACTCTCTATTCTTCAAATAATCTAGCTAATATTAGGCCAGGAATATTTTACAAACATTCGGTACTTCAAGAGAAATCTCTTATAAAAGCAGACTTGATTCTAAGTGAGCATATATAATGGTGAACGTAAGTTTATATATGTATGATAAAAAGGTTATAGTAAAGCTGTTCTTACATGTCCCCTGTGATGATAAATATCAGAATTTTTTGGGTCTAGTCGTACAGCATGCGCAAAATCAGCGAGTCCGTCCGTCTGCTGCTCTTTACTTATAAACAAACTTCCTCGTTTTATCAATGCATTTACTTTAATCTGCAATCAAAATTAAACTATAAATATATTTAGCATACACATGTACAAACATCAAATGAGCTTTCTGCAAAAATGCTGCTTAAATGCACACTTCTTTTGGAACTTATGTTTTTAAAGCAATTAATATTAAAAATCTGTTGTTGTTGTAACACTGTCATTTTTTCTATGTAAATTCCTTTCTTTCATTACTATTTTGGGTTGAAATTTTACAATGCATCAACACTGCAATGGTCATATGGTAATTTTCCAGCTTTAATGGTGGAAGAAGACCTCAAGTGCCCTTCTGTGCATTATTTCCGGCATGGACAGGCACCCAAGTAGAACCACCAACATCATATTTCCCTTTACAAACGTATATAACTTACCTATGTACCACAAAAACACGTAATTTTCTTACATGGAGGAAAAGAGTATTTATTATATTAAAGTTTGTTTGATTGAGTTTTACTTCACACCGAAACAGTATATGTCATATGGCGACATTCTAGTTTTACTGGTGGAGGAAGACCTCAGTTGCCCTTCCGTGCATTATTTCAGGCACCAACAGACTCCTGAGTAGAACCATTGACATTCCATAAGCTTGCTGGTTAGCTTCCCCACATTAAAGAATCTAAACTCCCTGTCGGGATTCGAAAACACAACAGTGTGGGGAATATTATATTGATCTTTATTCCAGTACATCAGCAATAATTTCTTACCTTTTTATCTAACTGTTCAGTACTTAACAATTGATCTAGGTCTAACTGAGCTTGATCTGACTGGGCTGTCAAACAGAACATTGTTCCCCGTAGCAACAGGGCTAGTTGACAATAATGAGTGGGTGGGGAAACATCTATCTCTTTTCTACACAATGAAAGGACTCCCTCATAATCGCCAGCTTCTAATTTTTCAACAGCTTTCATAAAATTGCTGAAATAAAAAGGAAAAATTTGATACATAAATTCTAGTTTCTGGAATAAATAATATTAAATTCAGGTTTCTGGAATTATAAGAAAAAAAAAACCCTCAACAAAAAAAATACAACTCCTGCCAGTATTCATCATAGCTTAGAAGAAATTTATACAATACCTTACCCTTTACGTAAAACATTTTTATCTAAGATCAAATTTTTTTTAGAGTAACCATGAACCACATTTTGTTTTTTTAACTGGTATTACTTGATGACTTACCAGTAAAAAACAAACTTCAAGGTAGGTGACACAATACTCATTCCATATGATTTTGGACTAACAAGTGAGAGACAAATGAGCTGTGCCATGACAAAACCAATATAGTGGGTTTGCGACCAGCATGGATCAAGACCAGCCTGCACCTCCGCGCAGTCTGATCAGGATCCATGCTGTTCGCTGTCAGTTTTTCTACTTGTAATAGGGTTTGTAAGCGAACAGCATGGATCCTGATCAGACTATGCGGATGCGCAGGCTGGTCTAGATCCATGCTGGTCGCAAACGCATTACCTTGGTTTTGTTGTGACGCGGCTCAAATAATCTTTAGACTCACAGAGAAATTTGGTCCGTACTCAAGGATTAAACCAGTGATAATGGCTTGAGTTTGCTATGTGAAAGTAACCAGTACTGGCGCTATACAAGGAAACATGTCTGTTTCTACAGTATATAGAAATTGTAGGACACAATAAGGTCGATAAGAGGCCACAAGGCCATGTTATCCCATCCCCTTCAGTTACAAACACATAACCATTTAATGCTCCTTTAATTAATGCTCGTTTGAAATGAATGAGCTAATAAAAATGAAGTAAACATGTTAATTAAGAGGGAGACAATCCTCAATTATTTCATCCCTTTTCACCTACAGGATAAGGGTAAACAGCTTCATATTCAATATCCAGACAATTTTTTTATCAAATAGTTACTACCTATTAAATGAGGCACTCCAATTCCTAAAACATGTTTTTTTCTCTTCAATCAAGAGCCATGAAATTACCAACCCTCAGTCTGCATTAATGGTGCATTAATTATGTTGCTTAGCAAAGCATTTTTGTTTAGAAGGCAATCCATTGAAATCACTTGTTCAAGAAAACTTAAAAACAAACGCCATAACTAAGCTTTGCTTTTATTTACATGTTCATTAGTTTCTACCAGTTAATCTAAAATTCCAAATTTTGAACTTTTTACAAAATTTCATTCAATTTAATGACAATTTTCATCCCGGAGTCAAACAGTGTTGGTAGCATTCCCAAAATGCTGATAAAGGCCTGTATTTCAATCAATATATGATATTGAATTCTGCTCTATTTCACCTTTACTATTAAAGGCAGCTTTTTATCAAGATGCTTTTTGACTTTTTTTTAAAATAAATTCAGAAAATTCCAGTACCTTTTTGAAATCTCTGGATCGCCATTGACAACACTAGTACTAGATGAGTCACCGGAATCCCCTGGTGCTGGAATATTCAATATCTTCTCTTCTTCATTCGATTGTTCTAAGAATTATAACAAAATCATTGACTTAATTCATAATTTATCAGTTTGTTTTTATTGCCATATATTTGAACAGTTACAATTATAGACAAACACATTGATGTTTTCCTATTGAGAGGCAGAATTTCAAACATTTCCTCTCTCTTTAAATAGATTTTCTTAATCTCTATCTTGAATTAAAGTGCTTTATGCTGACTAACTATTCCAAACAAAACATTGAATGAATAAAGAAAACTTAAAAAGAGTTTGTATAATAAAATCAACTGAAAGCTTGGAAATGTTACAAATCAATAACTACTGTGTTAAAAATTAACCGTGTAAGTCCAAGGCTTGTAGACTTTTCTTAATGACAAAAAAAATCCAATTCAATGATTATGGAAATAAGGAAGTGACAAAAATAATTGCTTACAGGTACTCTGCTCTTTGCTTGGTTTGGTGCCCTATTAACTGCCTTATAAATTTTTATTTATAATAAAAAGTCAGGAAATACACTTCAACATCCTGTCAAAGAAATATATTATACATGTCTCAAGGACAATCTCATTTTCCTTACCTGGTAGATTTGATTCTTTCTCCTCTTGCTTTTCTGTTTTGTTCTTCTTGAACATTTCTTGGACAGGATCTTTCGTGAATGAGGCAAAATATGATTTCATGAAGTGTTTGGAAGGCATCCCAGTTTTCTTGTTCTAAACATAAAGAATAAGAAATATCATACAAACCAGCTTGTTAATAAGTAACTTAATAAGCACTTTGCAGTTACTGTACTTAAAATTGTTCTTCATAAATTACAACACCACATGTGTAAATACATATTTTGCTACTTTCCAAGTTTTTTTAAAATTAAAATTACTTCAAACCGAAAGATTAATCCCGACACGGTTAATTTTGTTTGAATACTGACAGACCCTATGAATACAAATAGCAAGACTATATGTTATGTATACCAAAATATATGTTATGTATACCAAAGTATATGTTTTGTATACCAAAGTATATGTTCCAAAGTATATGTTATGTATACCAAAGTATATGTTATGTATACCAAAGTGTGTTTTGTATACCAAAGTTTATGTTATGTATTCCAAAGTATGTTTTGTATACCAAAGTATATGTTAGGTATACCAAAGTATATGTTATGAATAACAAAGTATATGTTAATTTATGTATACCAAACTATATCAAAATATATGTTATGTAACAGTATACCAAAGTACAAACTATCATATTTATATTGCCTTTGACTAGAGTATAATGTGAAATATTCTATTAAGGAAGAAGATATTTGAGTGCACTGTTGTACAGTTCTGCACATTTACAGTTCAAATAAGCAGCAATATAATCACGAAGTTCGTCTGAGTGATACATAGCATTTGAATGATGAACCATGCATTACTTTACTATAAAGCAAGAAAATTCAACATCTACTTCCATTCTATCATTTAAATACAAAGTAAATTCATAAAAAATATTGAACTATACTGAGAGGCGGTGTAATTTTCATAACATCTTTAGGTTTATTGACTCGCATCTTTCTTCATATGATGTCTAAGCATTTCTTACCTAAGTTGTGCATAACTGCATATATTCTGTACTGAAGCTCTTGACTGCCTTTGTTTAATATGGATATAATGTTCGCATGTTACAATGGTTTTTAAAAACTTCTATTACCACACGATTGCTTTCAAGTAGCTGACATCTAAGACAGTAATTATCAACTATTGTTATTTTCTACGTCGTATCAGGTATATGACAACTACATAATGTTAAATATTCAAGGGTACCTTCAACGCCTCTTTTGCCTTGGATTTTCCAAGATTCTTCAACACTCTGTCCGCCATTTGAAGGGTAGACTGATTTTGGAACCCTTCTAAAATACATACTGCTGTAACATCTGTAAATAAATGACCTCAAAGAAGTTTATATTCTGAATAATTTTTGTACATGTATAAACTGATCAAAACTAACCTTGGCAAAAGTTTTGTATAATAGAGTCAAACTGCTTTCTCTCAAACTCAAAGAGTCTTTACAAATTTGTTCAAGAGATCGGTATATGTACATTTCTACATAGATGAATAGAAGTCTTTTTTTTTCTTTTTTAATTGTTGATATATTTTTGTAATGTATATACTTTTTATTCATTCCAAATAAGACAATTTCAGTTCAAAGTAATGTTTCTGTAATAAATGAGATATTATATGAAATTAACTTAAAATATTTTGAAGATTCAATATCTTGCTTAAACACTCAAAAAAAAAAAAAAACTATCTTCAAAAAAGAAAGGTCTGCCACCAGTTAAGTGCCCAGTCAGCCTGTACATCTATAAAGTCTGACACAACAAAACTATTTCATCTATAGTCTGACACAACAAAACTATTTCATCTATAGTCTGACACAACAAAACTATTTCATCTATAGTCTGACACAACAAAACTATTTCATCTATAGTCTGACACAACAAAACTATTTCATCTATAGTCTGACACAACAAAACTATTTCATCTATAGTCTGACACAACAAAACTATTTCATCTATAGTCTGACACAACAAAACTATTTCATCTATAGTCTGACACAACAAAACTATTTCATCTATAAAGTCTGACATAACTGAACTATTTCCCGCTTAATTTACACTCACTTTGCTAATTTTTTTTAATGGTTTACCCTGCTTTGAACAGATAACAGTCCATTGAAAGTTAAAGGGATTTCAATATCAAGATGTGCCAAAAATTTGAGCTTGTGAGAGTACACCGCCTCATCAGACTGCAATGATGTGCGGACTGGCCTGGCTCTATACTGGTAGCATTGTCTAATCAATTCCGGTTTCGGCAAGTCAAGGTTTGCGCACTTTTGTCCTTAAATTGCTTTAAACCCAACTTTGGACATTACTGGATAAGTCTACCCAACTTTGGACATTACTGGATAAGTCTACCCAATTTTGGACATTACTGGATAAGTCTACCCAATTTTGGACATTACTGGATAAGTCTACCCAATTTTGGACATTACTGGATAAGTCTACCCAACTTTGGACATTACTGGATAAGTCTACCCAATTTTGGACATTACTGGATAAGTCTACCCAACTTTGGACATTACTGGATAAGTCTAACCAACTTTGGACATTACTGGATAAGTCTATCACTTGTAAGGTAAAAAGGGTTACACCAGGAAAAATATATCTAAGTTAATGTAAATATAAATTATACCTTCCAGTGATAATTGTAATTCTCCAAGTTGTTCGGCAGCATTTGCTCTACGACTCAATGCCTTCGTGTATTTACCATTCAATTTTATAGCTTCTGTACAGTTTTCTAACACTTGCTTTGGATCTTTCTGAAATAAGTACGGTGTAGTTTAAACTTTAAACTCTAGCCCAATCTTTATATATATAAATTATATAATTATTCTATTTCTGATCAATGGACCCGAGATGTTCTAAGCAGTGTATACTTCAAACCATAGCTGTCTTCATGCTTTTAAAAGTGTATACTATAAAAGTATATGCTGCTGCTGCAAAAAATCATAAAATGGTGTTTAAGTTTTTGAAAAAAAAAAAAAAAAAAAAAACAAACTTCTAAAATGCCTGTATAAATGAAACATTAGCATAATATCTTAAAAGCTAAAATTTTGTGCATGCGTAAAATCATTGCTAAACAATTAAATCCTACTTAAAATGGCAGCATAACATTTTGTTCCGAAACAATTGATTCTATTAAACAGAGACATAATATATTACAATTCTTTTGGTGAATAAATTTATACAAATATTTCAATAGATATAGCTTAACACCCTTTAAAGGACAGATCAAAGCTTTTTCCAATTATTTAAGACTGCAGCAAACTTTTAATAATTTTTAATGTCTTTATTTTATGCCGTTTTTTTGGGGTATATTTTTGCATGCTGACTAACCATATTGTTTTCCTATTCATTCTACCATAGCATCTAGCCAATGTTTTTCTAAATATAAAAAGCCTTGAGAAATCCTACTAAATATTATTTTGACCTAAGTACTTCAGAAATAAAGATTATACAATCAAACCTCTACTGTTAAATTTCATGCAATCTCCAGGCTCAGAATCTTAAGAGTACCAAACTTTTGAAAGTTAATTCATGCCTTAAGATTTACATTATCTTTCACAACCAATTACAAAATGAATGTTGGATCAATCCTTGATAATGCACCCAATAGAAAATATGATCTCACCAATTTCTCATAAGCAGCAGCTCTGTTTGCATAGAATGTTGAGATTTCTGTTTTATTTTCAGGTGGGCACACCTCCAGGGCCTGCGTGTAGCACTTGATCGCCTCGTCATATTTCCCTTGTTTGAAGTTTTTATTTCCAATATTCTTAAACTCCTGTGCCTTTCCCAGGGGTGTATCCTGTTACAAAAATATATATCATATTATGTATCAACAAATTACACAAGGTTCATATATCCGAAAAATTGATGAATATTTCTATTTTGTATCCATAGTTAAATACATGTAAATACATATGCAGCTTTCTAAAATCTAATAATCTTACTTTGTTATAAGTGTTTTGTCAAGGCCATTCATTTTATAATATACTGTAATAATATACAGTAAACTCCATTAAACAAGTCTAACGTTTCATGATATTTATTAAGGACAGTCTGTAGTTTATGCCCCTTTTTGGGTTACCTCCTCCCTTTCATATTGTCTCAAGTTAATATACATTTAGGTTCTAGTAGAATTTTCATCTTTGTATGATGAGTTTGAAATGTTTGTTTAAAGTGAAAATTGAAAATCATCAAATTGTTCTGAGTCTTACCCTTACTGTTACATTTAATCATATAATTTGTAATAACAGTATCCTTTTTCTTTAAGTGTCTGTTTGTATTTTAATACAAATTCTACTGTCTAATCATATTTTATTGCTATATACATGTACATGTATATACAGGGATACGGACAAAAGCCCCCCAGACGAAAGCCCCCCCTTCTAAAAATAACAAGGTGGACAAAAGCCCCCCATGAAATTTACACATAGAACAAAAGCCCCCTCATCAAAAATACAGGTAGGACAAAAGCCCCCCCCCCCCCCCCCCCCCAAATGCAATTATTTTAAAAGATAATTTACATTAAGGTACTAAAGTTCTAATTTGATTTAATGTGTAATTCGTATATAATTCATTGATGATATGAATGTTTTATGTTTATTATATATTGTACAGTACAAATGTAAATGAATATTTTCAGAGAATCATTTATCAATGCTTATCAAGGAAATAAAAGTGGAAGGCGCATACTTTTCTAGATTTATTTGAACAATAACCCAAGTTCCCTAACACTTGGCGTGTGAAAAAAGATAGTTATGAGTCTGGTCTGTAAGCCTTAGTGAGGCTTTTGTTTGCTGAACTGGGGGGCGGGGGGCCTTTTGTCCTACCTGTATTTTTGATGGGGGGGGGCTTTTGTCCTTACTCCTATGTGTAAATTTCAGGGGGGGGGCTTTGTCCACCTTGTCATTTTTAGAAGGGGGGGGGGGCTCGTCCTACACTCGTATTCTTAACAGCAAAAGCAGCCCTCCCCGTAACATGACCCATACCCATGCAGGGCTATCAATTGACATGGGGAACGAGGTTTGACTACTGGAAATCAGAAAATGTACAAATTTGACACATGATAAAATCTGCACAAGTCAATTAGCCACATGAGATTTTCAGCTATGTAATAATAATTATCTTAAATCCACCCCTAATTACCTAACAAACCCTACATTATGTTCAAATAACACTTGATAAAAATGTCAACAGGCAGTATAAGCCTTGTATATGCCTGTGCACTGAACCGCGACATCAGCAATTAGACAGCATTAAAAATAGCTCTACACAACTAAGAATAACATACTTAAGGTATCAATTATTGATGTCTTTTAAAGGTTTATAATAGGTCTTTGATTTACTTGGAGTACCTGTACATTTATTTCTTTTTCCATTAAATATTCCTAGTACATTTTGGTTTTTAAAATTAATATGATATATAGCATACCACTAATGATAATTTTTTATATTTTATATACATGTATTTAATGAGAAAAGCTGCTGCTTATTTCATTCTTTCAGAGTATAGATGCAATTTTTTTTTTTTTGGTCTTTTTTTTTATATTATCAATTTAGACTTAAGAATCTACACAAAATGACCTCCCATACAGTAATTTTTGTAACATATGAATGATTGAGTAATCAAATGACACAAGAAAAAATTATTTGACTCGTGAAAATTTTGGCCAAAGAGTCTTTGACCCCTGAATTTCTGACCCTACTGAGAGCCCTGCCCATGGAATTGGGAATTTCAGCAATGTCTAGGATGGCATCTTCAAACATTTAAGCACCATAACAGTGAAAAAGTTCTTATTTTGAAAGATTTTTCTTTTGTAACGTTCAATTGGGAATTTGTTCCTGTGGATTGGGAAAATAATATACTATTTTCAATTGGGAATATGACCAAATATAGACTATAAAATAAGCCAAAAAAATCCATGATAAGTACATTTTGTAAGTTGTTTTTTTCCAGGATTTTGGGAACATGACCCATACCCATGGAATTGTGAATTTCAGCTTTATTTTTTTTGGTTTGTTTTTATTGGCTTTTACGTCACACCAACACAGTATAGGTCATATGGCGAAGTTCCAGCTTTACTGGTGGAGGAAAACCTCATGTGCCCTTCCGTGCATTATTGCAGGCACGAACGGGTACCTGAGTAGTCTCAACCACCGATGTTCCGTAAGCTAGCTGGATAGCTTCCTCACATGAAAGAATTCAAAGTCCCTGTAGGGATTCGAATCCACAGTGGTGAGGGGCAAGTGGTTTGAAGTCAACAACCTTAACCACAAGGCCTTGGACGCTCCCTATGTTTTGTTAAAAATACGTAAAGCATGCATGACTTAAATTTTGCAGTGATTGAATGAATGCAAAGAATCACTGTTTAGGATGGCATCAACATTTTAACTGCTTGGTAAATGTAGGTTGAGTCATATATTATGCAGACAGTTGTTCAATACATTTGCCCTGCAAGCAGCTTTTAATTGTCAGAGAAAGGTCACAAATATTATATAATCAGTGGATTTGTGTCAACAGTTCTTGTGTTTACTAAACTGTCTGGGACAATCTATGTGATACCAACATCTTAGGATAATTAATATGCAAATAAAATTGCATAATATTGGAATTGTACTTGCTGCTAATAAGTTCCAAATTTTTATTTTTCTCTAAAAAAATCTTTTCCAGGATTCCTCCGGTACGGTTGGCTGATTAAAATCAGATTTCCGTAACAATCCTGGATGTCCGGGACGTTATGGCATGTATGCTTTAAGTAACGCATAAATATGTGTAAATAACACAATTGCCACTTATTTATAGATCTAGCAATTTAACCATTAATCTAATATACAACTTATAACTCTGAAAGCTAAATAAAAAATAAACATTTAAAGGGAAGGTTATGAAATAGTTCCACCTCATTATTGAAAGACCCTGTTTCTGTTAAATTGTTATTTTTCTTAATCTAGGTCTCTTAATTAAGGTGGAACGAATCAAGTGATATATGGCAAATTATCAGTTTGGCGAACTGTTATATAATCAATAAGACAATGGCATGGTTGACAACTGTTTATATTTTAGATAAATTTATATATTTCATCATAATTTTCTGAAAGTTCCCAGAAACACCTGGGTATTTTTACTTTCTTTTTAGAAAGATACGTCCTACTCCAGTATGTGTTTCATCAGTATATAACAATAATACAGATGACCATCATGATTCAATTAATGTGTATGTCATTCTTTTCTTAACCGGTTACCTTGCTTTCGTTTTCCTTTTGTGAACCAGATGCTACTTTCGAAGCATCAGGAGATTTGACCTTTTCTTTAGCGGAAGGTGGTTTCGCTTTCGACAAGTCATCTCCTGTTTGATCTGATTTCTTCACCTTTGTATAGTACCATAAACCTGCAAGCCCTAGGCATACTGGTGCTCCTACGGCTAAAGCTATTTGCCATTTTTCCCACCCTTCAAATACTGACGATTCAGTGCGGCCTTCGACAGGAGCCATGTTGATCACATGTAAAGAATTTCTTTCCTGCTTCGATTGAACAGGACTAAATGCGCATAGTAGTACGGGTACCAGCCAAAGATCGGGAGTAGCGCCCCTTGAAAATTGCCCACTAAATATTTTTTAAGGCTGAATACCCCTAAGTGTTTCCTCCCTACAAGTAACATTGGCATAATTAATACAGTTATGGTCGATATGAAAATTGCGAAAGGAATAGAACATTATGTCAGATGTTAAATTTCGCGCACTTAATTCCTGCCTACTGTATAACACTCGTGAGAGGGATTTGCAGCATTCAAAAAAAGATAGAATCATTTTAGTCACGTCACTGTTTATCTTAGGTAAGATGTTCCGACCCGTACGAAAAAAACTTCCGTTTTACAACTGTAAGACGACTGAAAAACACCTGTTTTTTAAAGGGACCTGTGTGAATACAGGTGTATTTTAAAAATTATACAGGTGTATTTTTGAGACAAGACCTGTGTTTTCTAAAGCTGTACACATGTAATTCTGATACTTAGAAAATATTGAGCTGATATTTTGTGCTGAAAATAATCTAAGTCCAAAACTACAACTGTATAATTTTCAATGATTATACAGATGTACAATACACCCTTAGAAAATCTTTTAGAGAAATTGTTCTTATTTAAATACTTTAATATCTTTGATGCAATTGTACAGACTGCATGAACATTATTTACACTTAGGATTAAATTTTTAACATTATGTAAGCAACTTTGAACCTAAGAGTGCTATCTAAATTTGAATTTGAATCTAAATATGATTATTTAGTTTTAAAATATATGAGATAGTTCACAGAGGACTGTACTTGTTGTTCTTTTAAGTATAAAAAGAGCAACAACAAAAAACTACAACAACAACAACAAACTGGTACATGTTCTTATTCAATACTCCAAATTTGCAGACATTATGAGTTATTCTTCACTCTGTAAAGTGTATGTGTATGAAATAAACTCATACATTAAGCTCTCTCAATCTAGTTTGTAATATAAATGACCTCAGTGTTGATAATTTCTTATAAGTAGGATAAATAAATAAATACTGCCTCTACTACTCTACAATGATTTTACACAACTGACCGATTTTTCACCATGCACTGACCAATCTGATAATGGTAACCACCTGTTTTCCCACCATAAATTCTGCTATAGCCTATAGTTCAGACGCTTCCATTTGTGGATTTTGGGGGTATACAACTTTATAGATTTTAAATGAAGTCTGTTTAGAAGGACATTGCAAAGTTATCTTTAAAAACTTATAATGAATTTGAAATTCTACATTATACATTTTTTTCTCATATGTCTATATGATTGTGAAAGTAAAATGATGTGTGCTTTGATTTGTGGAATATCCCTGTTTAACATTACACATGATGAATCAGTCCAGTTATACAGTTGTAAAATTTGAAATCTGAGGCATTTGTGGAAATCATAAGTGCTCATGTATATATCACAAAGGATTTTATTGATAATTTAAAAATTGTGGAGATATAAGCAATTTTCTAAGTAATATTTTGTGTGTAAAGTTTAACTTTTCAAAGAAAAAAATGAAGGCTACAGTCTTGTTAATGAAAATGACAATATTCTGGATAATGGGATATGCTCAAGGTTGTAAATGAAATTTGAACCTTGGACAAGAAGATGAAAAACCAGAATCATAAAAAAATCAGGTAATAACTTTTGGATACATTTATGCAAAAAAAAAACAAGTATTATTTCAGGTCTACTAGCAATTATTTTTATCAACTTTATTCTGAAAAAAAAAGAAATATTTTATATTCTATTTACCCAGTTGGAAAATAATTTTAAATGTAAATTTTGCAACCAATAGCATTTAATTAGTACAATATTGACTGTTAACTGCTTTATATTTTTGAATACAGTCTTGAAGAGATGATATTAAATACATTTATACTAAACTTCTAATTAATGGGTCATAATTTATTTCCATATCTTTTATAATGAACTATAAATTTTGTTCTTAAAGGTCACAGAACACACACCAGAGACGTTCCTACATGGAACAAAGCAAAGGACTAAAACAGACAAGGTAAAACGAAATTATAGTTGAAATAATTAGAATAGTTTTGACAGAAATTCATGGTTAAACAAAATAAGTCTCTTTGAAAGTTGCACCTTTATTATTACAACTCAGCAAATATTTTTTACTAAGCAATGCATTAAGTTAGGAAAATTAATATATGTATTCATTGTCAAAATATATATAGGTTGAAGTTAATTGGTACGTATTTAAAAAAAATGAATTGGTCAGGCACCGAATATGTGCATTGATGACATTAGTACAAAATTGAAAGCATTGAAAGTATGATTATCATTTAGTATTCATTTAATGTTAAACTATTGATGTTTTATTTAATTCAGGTGAAGCTGCTTTAAACAGGATCTTAAATCACAATGGCAGGGACCAGTTAAGAAGAGAAAAGACTTGCAAAGGCTTCATTCCAAATACCTATATATGTAGACATTAATTTGGAAAATACTGGCAATAAATTTTTACAAGAAAAAAAAACACTTTTTTAACCATTTGTGAATTTTTCTTCAAATGAAAGGATGCATACAGTGTTATATATGACTTGGATTTTATTGATGCAGTATCATGCGGTAGTGTAAGACTGTAACAGAATGTTATAAAATATAGTAATCCATTTAAGACAAAGTGAATATTTGTTATATTTATCCCCATCTTTAGTGATAGTGATTTTAGTTCAGTGAAATTTCCGCTCACCTTAGCACAGAGTGCCATTGTGAACTATTGTGATTGTATAATGTCTGTTACTTGTACCTAAATCTTGTAAAAAGATATTTTCTCCTCAACCATTTCTTATTTTTAAAGATTGAGTAGCAACAAACGCACACAATTTCTGACCAAAGTGTATTTATCCCAATGAAAAAGATATTTGCACCAGACATGCCAAATATGTCTGCATTTATGTGTGGTTTTCATCCCTTAAACAATTATACACCTGTATTTTTAGACCTGTAAAATTTTACACCTGTATTTTAAACAGCTGTAAAACAGGACAACTGTATTTTCGATCCGTAGAAAAATACGGTTAATTTACTTATTTCGTTCATAGTACAGGTGTAAAACAGGTGTATTTTTGAAAAAAAAACAGATGTAATTTGCTAATTGTTTATCATAACTGAAGAAATATACAGCTGTAATTTTTAACAGAAAAACAGGTGTATTTTAGGCAAAAATACATGAGTAATATTTCGTACAGGGATCCTCCCCATTTTCTCTAATTAATTAACATATTGATATTAATACTTTTATAGTAGAATAAACAAATAAGTAAATAAATAATAATAATTTTATCAGATTAAAATGTATACGCAGCATGGGTCAATAAGTATTGATTACTGTTTAAAGAAATTTGTGCATGTCACCTCGTGGCATGGGTTAATGCTCCCTAGCATATTCAATCAAACCATTCAAGCTTTTTCCGACAAATTTATCAGCGAACTTGTTCTTATATGAATGTTATTCTTGGAAGACCTTGTTTCCCTTACACAACAAACTTATGAAGGCGGGAATGTTTAAACCTTCCCACTCATACCAGTAGTTAATTGTTGTATATTGTACATTTGCATTTAAACCAAATAAGTAAAACTTCATGATACATTTTTCTCCTTTGAAATAATAATGCCCGCAACTCAAATTTATCATATATTTTAGAAGTTAATAGGGACTACATGTTATGCACTCGGGAATGCGTACGTTTAAAATACTACATATGGCTTTAGCAATAAAAGAAATATCACTTACTATACACGGTGGACTCTATTATGGGATAAAATAGATCTTTTGCTTGAAAAAAGGGCACCAGGGAGTGTAATATTACAAAGAGGGGTTAGAGTTGTCCGCACGGCATGATCATTTTGTATTTAGAGGGGCACCTTTTTTTGAATATATGTGCATGTCGCCTCGAGATCTGTGGCATGGTAAATTCTATATGGTACGTACTAAAATATCTACATGTATATATACATGATGATGCACATGTTACCCCGATTAATCAATTCTGGAAAACTGTATTAAAATAGTTTTGTGCTTACTTAAAAAATAAAAGTTGTCGTATTATACTGTTTACACATCATATTAATATAAATGACAAGTCGACATGTATATACATATATTAAGGTTTTTATTTCATAATGTGAACTGTAAAACATGACATTGATTTATATATATTATACTACAAAATACACGCAGGCTGGGCTGGATGGTAATAATATGTCAAAATGATTAATGAGAGTTCTGCATGTAACTCTAAAACGCGTGCATGTTTATAATTATAAGTTGTCATTATTGCAGGCTGTCATTATAAAATACTGGTCTCAACGCCCAGTAGATATAGTTCGAATTTGGTATTTCACTTGTACACTTGTGTATTTGTATATTAAAATGTAAAACATCTGAGAGTTCTCTCTCCGAAATATTTATAGAAAAACCTATACAGCTATAATATTTAACTTATGTTACTTGAAAATTATTTTTGTAGAATAACAGTTACATTAACTGATAAAAATGTCGAATGTTTATTTTTCAATCGATTCAATATGAAGCATTGTTTTGCATAAAGATTATCTTAACATTTAACAATAATAACTTATTCAATATAAAGCATTTTTTTGCATTAAGATTATCTTAACATTTAACAATAATTATTTTTTTACTTATTAAAAACATTACAAAATTGTTGAATTGTATAACTCCCAAAAGTAAATTATTTCTTACCTTACTGCAGTACATGTTTCATATCCGAGAACTGTTTTAAAATGACAAGAAAAATCTATTGAGCGAATATTTCCGAATATTGTTTCCTAAGGCGTTTTTCTTTTTAAAATAAAGTAACAAAATGTCGTGACATAATATCTCTGAACGGATAAGACCTTAGGTGATTATTACTCTTTTAAAAAAAATTACCTACCGGCTCCTTTGTTAAAAGCGGTCTAGTAAATCACTTACCGACCGGTTAAGAGGTCTGCAAATAGATACCGACCGGTTATTGTTCTATTGTTCTCTATTCGATAGAAAATATTTGAAGTCGAGAAACTCGTGCATTACAGTACACAATATTCACCGTAAAATAACGCTGAATTGTGTGTGTGTGTGTGTGTGTGTGTGTGTGTGTGTGTGTGTTGGGGGGGGGGATAATGACTACTTTGAATAGGAAAAGGGGTCGATATATATTTTAAAGATTAATCGAAATAAATTAGCGCATACGGCTGTAAGGACCCTCATAACTAATATTCCAGATTATTTTCGTGAAATGGCTACTGGTGCATATCGAATAAAGTCAACTTCTGCATCTTTCTTTCCCAAAATATTACTTTCAGTGAGAGTATAGTTCATCTTAAGTATAAGACCGTTTTACTCATTTTTTCCCAGTTATTTTTACATTACAATTTACGATTTCAAAATCAGCCACCATAAAAAACAACAACAACAAAACCCGACTTACATGACGGTGTAACTACATGTATTACTAATATCTATTCATAGAACCCCGTCTTTTACTTTCCTTTGAAAAAATCTTATATTTTAATTATATAAGAAATAGCCTGATCATCTATTTACCATGAAATTTATCATATATAAAGATAAAGTGTTCCGTTTTTATGATTAGAAAACATCATCTCAGTATTTGTTTATATTATTAATATGTTATGTATTCATATATCAAAATAATGATCTTATTGTTTGATTTTATTAACCTGTCAATTCCATACTGATTATACGGTCAATGCACAGAATATATTAATATTCGATAAATTATCGGTAAATTCCGTGAGATTTAAGCAGTAAGATATGATTAAATTCATCTGGTTTCTATGCAATAGTTACACTGACCGTTATAGCACAATAGGGTAAACTACGGGTATATAATTTCTAAATGTCGTACGTGATGTAAGATCGAGACAGCGTATGTCCAGGTATTTTTTCTTATTCATATTTTCAACATTTTTGAAGTTAAGGTTGTTCTTTCTGTTTTGATAGGTTTTGCACTTTTTTGTTAATACTATACTTTTGTATATATCATTGTTAAAGAATTAATATTTTAAATTCATTCGGATTAAGATCAATAAATGTCATTTCAGTGCCGTAAAATACAATACAAAACGTGACAATTCAGTGTTTCTTATTTGTTTCATATCTGCGTAGAAAATTCTGAAAGCGCTTGACCATTTTCATTATAATATACTTAAAAATAAAGAAAAATATGTCTTAAAATAAGTGACGTCTAAAAAAAGTCAAAAGAAGGGATCGAACCTCGGACCTCTCATACATAAGGTAATCACTTAACCGACTTTGCTATTGCGGATGTTACGAGAACCTACATTAAGCTAGTGGGAGTTTTCCAAACGTTAGCTATATACTCCATATTAATTCTCGTAAAAATAAACGGACAAAACCGAAGTAGGATCGAATATTTAAATGAGTGCTATAATGTATTCAAAATTGACAGGTCAATAAAATCAGACTATACCTTTCCCTACTCGACAAGTTCTGTTTTCATTTTCTGTGATTCAACTCAACAAGTACATTACCTGACCCTATTACATAATGAAACCCCACGAAAATCACGAGAATATTCAAATAACACCTGATTTGTGAACGAATGAATTACAAGAGCGTAGCGGATTGTATCTTTGTTTGGCTTTGGAATGCTTTCTTAAACATGATAAAGTACATGAATAATAGGTCTCTTGTGAGTAATACTAACAAATACTGAGTTGCAAACTGATATTTGGAAAGGACAAAAGAGCATGTAGGTAAGATAGTTACTGCACTCGGAATAGGTCTGCATAGTATTTACAGACCCGGTGGCCTTTTAAAAAGCTCGATCGCTACGCTTTCTCGGTCTTCAAATCGCCACCCGGGTCTGTAAATACTATGCAGACCTTTTCCTCGTACGGTAGCTATTACGTAACAAAAAGTTGATATATAAAATCATTGTCTTGGGGCAAAAACAGATCTATGTTAAGCTATTTCAAAAAGGAGTTTTTTTGTTATATTTGTTGACAAAGGAAAAAAAATCTATGTAATAATCTATATTTTTTTCCGAGGGTGCCATATAATTGAGAAATACTCTAGATGTAATCTCACATTAGTTTCATGGGCTGATTTTGTGACTAGTCTGTTATTTGGTTTGATGCTTCTCTGAATAAGACTTAATTAGAGAGTTTTCATTTTGCATTTGAGGGGGTGTTATTTATATAGTTGGTCCAGTTAATAGAGAAGTTTACTGAAAGTACTTAATAGTTTCAGCAAATTTAAGAATTTTATCGTAGAGGGTATAGCGGAAGATGGTGGTGTTCCTTTCTCATGTTATCTTAAGCACATCGCACTTGTGTGGGTTGAACTGCTTAGTCCAGTCCTAGTTTTATTTTGTTGTCTGTCCGCATCTGTTCGTCCCTTGGTTGTTTGGTTATCCATAGTGTGTTTTGCAAATAATGCTTTACTTTTTACCGTTTTTAGTTCTATATCATATGCGTTTACGATTATATAGTTAAGAAAACCTCCATTCACATTACTAATTGAGAGAGCAAAAATAAACGATAGCTTTCGAAAAAAGGTATTTCGTAACGTTCTGCCTTCTATACAAGACATAATATTATATTCATGTCCATTTGGGTAATATAAATTTATTCAGATGATTATTTTCACCATTACCATTTATGTCGGATTTCTGTCTGGAATATAAAATTACTTAGAGTGAGTATGAATTGTATGTGTTATAACTAATTCATTTGTAACTAGCTAGCTAGCGTTAAACTTGAATGCAACTTGTGACAGAGTCACAATTTCACACAAAATATGATTTAAAGAAAATTATGAACTGCAAATCATGAAAGGTGTACATATTTTGCAAAAAATATGTTTTTTTTCTCTCAATTTTCTACAGTTTTGTAACATTTGTTATGTTTACAGTTATGATTTTTTAAAAGACTCTAGAATATTCTAGACTGGGTTTTTATGTAACGAAAAACGAACATTATTAGGTATAAGGTTGTTTTATATGGTCAATTTGTAATTTGATGTATGCAAATAATAACCTGCATTTAGTTCGATTTTACATGGCAATATCTTCAAGAAGACCAGAGTAAACTTTACATATACTCACACAAGACATTGGCCTTTCAGGTCATAGAATTGAATTTGGTTTGATTTATGTTATAACTGGCTATAATTTTGTTATGAACGATCGGATTGTCTCCATACTTTGACATAACAATTATTTAGACAAGACCTTCATATGTACCAAATTAACGTGACCTTACCTCATCAATAACATTGACCTTAAAGGTTAAATTATTTGAATTTGCTTAAATTTTAATAACTTTGTTATTTCTGAACAGTTTTGAGTCATACAAAACAGTTATGACTAAACCAAATTTAATAATTCAAATATGACCTTGACCTTTAAACGGCATTGACATTGAAGGTCAAATTTTTAAAATCTGCTAAAATTTTCATACCTTTGATTTTCATTTACCGATTAGATTAATACTTGAACGAACTAAGTTTCTTTGACAGAGCCATCATTTTGAAAAATAAAATAAACAAATAAATAAATAATAATTATAGAAAAAAAAAGAGAAAAAATACCATGACCGTTATATGAATTTGACAAGATCAAATCATTGTATTTTATCTAAATTATCAAAACTTTTTCTTATATCTATGGATTTGATTCATTTATGAACCAAATATGACCATGACCTTTAAATAACATTGACCGTCATTGTCAAATTATTGAATTTTGCTTTAATTGTGATACTTTTACCGTTTTATGGTTTGATCTATACTTGAAAAAAACAAACAAACAACAAAAACAATAACAACAACAACAAACAAACAAACACAAAACAAACAAACAAACAAACAAACAAACAACAACAGCACTCCACCACCACCACCACCACCACCACCAACAACAACAACAACAACAACAACAACAACACTCATTGCAACACTGATATGTTGTAATATTCTAGTTTGACTGGCCTAATTGACCGTCATGCTTTTCACTCTACCCTTAAATTGCGACAACCTTGTTGTTTATTGTTATGGATAAATTTAATTAAAAGAAACCCCAGCATGTTGAATGATAGAAGTTTGTCCTTGATAAATGACCTTTACTGTCGAAGTCAAATATTAAATTCTAATTTACTTTTGTACAAGAAAGTGACGTTTCTTCGAAAACCCTTTAGAAATAAGAAAATATTATTTAATATAATTTTTTTAATATCCAAAATAATACATGCATAGAGAAAAACTACCAGATCAGTTTATTTACTCTTTTTTTCTTTTTTTGTATATCTTTATGTGATTGAGCTTCTATACTTCATTAAATGGTTTAAATCTTCTATTCTCTATTTCCCTATTTATAATTACAAACATATGTCATCTATTATCTACGTAAATGCTATAATTTTTATGTATGCATTCTTCTCCTGAAAACAAACGAGACTTAAACGTGCTTCCAAAACGCAGTTTCATTTTTACAGCATAAATCTGTTTGATAAATACATGTAATTTATTGAATTAGAATTCAAATTAAATGCGTAACCATTAACAGTGTCAAAATACATAACCACGGGAAAATGGCTGATTTACATATATATAGTAAAATAAACAATAAATTTAAATTAATGTTTTCGATTTTTCAATCTTTGCTAAAACCATACAAATTGTCTGTTTTGTTTTTATTAAACTTCGTCATGTTCAAATGATTGTATGTCTCTGAATTTTCTAGATCTTCTTTGTCAAACTGTTGCACATGTATTCCTTGCTGATCTTGCATCCCATAAACATTGTCCGTTTTAGAATATTTAATTTGATCTCTACCAGTGTGACTATATTCATCATCACCAATAACTACGCTATTATAGTTAGCCTCTGGCTCTCTTCTTTGACTTGATGCAGTTCCCGTAGTGTCGTACGTTGTATCGCTTTTGTTTGCTGTCCTCTCTGTTATATCATAAACATTATCAGACATTTCTATTTTCGCTTCATTTAATGTGTTATAAACGTTGCGTTCATTATCCTTTTCCATTGACTGTTGTTCAATTCTTGTTAAGTCTTTTGTCGAGACTGGATCATCAGCTTCCTTTTCAATCTTCTCAAGTATAAAATAATGAGGGGATGGACTACCGTCTTTATCACTCCCTTTAGCATTTTGATCTGTTATATTAGATTCCATTTTGGCATGTAACTGTTGTACATCTGGTATCTTCACACTTTGGCTTTCAATCGGTTGATTAACTTTACCCCGTGGCTCTTCTACTATTGAAGAATAATGTGAAGAATCATAATTGTCGTCTGCAGTGTCTACATTCCATGTATTCATATATTCCGATTTGTTAAAGGCAGGATTCATATGACCGATACTATCTATTCCACGATGTGATGTCCCTTCTTTTTGTGTACTTTCCAGCTCTTTGATGGGTTTAATAGACTCATCATTCATGCAAAACTTTGGTATTCTATTCCTGTAAAACGTATAATAATTTTATATTTCTTTAAAATGCTGAACAAATTTTATGTATTACTAATTAATCTGTATTATATATACGCACTTCTGTAGTTCTAAGAAACTTACATGTATGACATTAATGCATCTGTTACGCATAATCATCAAATCTCTGTTCTGATTATCAATGAGATCTTATTGTATAAATATTAAAAACTGAATGGACCAGGCTGCTTTTTTATGCAGATAGATATAGTTTTTAAATGGGATTATAAATTGTATATGTGAAATATAGTCATTTGAGATGATTATTATCATAGTATTATGTTGATTATACCTTCGTTTAAGGATAACTACGAACGAAACAGCAAGAGATGTGACACCTACTGCTACAGCGATTGACACACCAATATATATACCTGAAAATATATCTTTATAAAATAATGTAGCTTCAACTAATCTCCACTTTTACCTTATTATCAAAACACCAACGCTGAACAAATACATGTAGTTAACAATTTTACCTCGTTAATTGAAAAGCGTGTTTCATGAAACATTATCTCCTCTTCACTTACTAGTATGAAGTCCTAACGCTTTTAAAAGAATTAAGATTAAACGATTTGCACAGCAAAAGATTTAAACTTGAAGTTATAAAAATGTCAATGTAAATCTCAATGAGTACTTAAGTGGAAAATTACAGGGTATGTAGGTAAGTACGTTGAACGATTGTATCATTTAATTAGACATGATAAGTTTAACAAGGTAATTGTTTTGATTTATACTTTTTGATGTATTCTCTGTTTAGAAGATATTTATTGTTCTTAGTACCTTCATATTTGGTGATGTGAAATTCTTATCAATTCAAAGTTGCCTAAATTTTTAGTTAATAATTTGATTTTTTTTCATAATATCTAGAAATATAGATATAATTATGAATGACATATGCTGATCATATAGATAGTTATGCTTATATTCTTTTCTTGAAGTATTAAGTATGTACTTATTTAACAGAATTAAAGTAGATTCTTACTTGAATGGTCTCCTTCAGTTGTTTTTGCTTCAGAACCTGTAAGAACGGGGAATCAAAATACAAATTTCATCAGTGTTTAAATTATAAAGGCAACTATTTTCGTGTAAACTTCTTGAGAAGCAAACGGGAAAATTTCTTTATGAATGAATATGACTAGAGTTTTGCGGCAATGACTGCCATTTACACATTTACATATAAACATGTAAAATGATTTATATTAAACACTGGAAATTATTCTGTTGATTTATGATGATTATATGTTCAATTGTCATTTGGATTTCATTCGACTTTGTAACTGCACATCATGTACAATGGACAATTTTTTATTTCATTTTAATAAGTACATTTTTGTACTTGTTATTCACTAGCAAGCAATCAAAAAATAGGCAAAATATATACGTGTATAGGTAATTATGATAAGTTAATTCTTTTTATCCTACCTTTAACGCAAAGTGCTCTCAGTATTTGCGAAGAAGATCTAAAATTGAGCAGTTTTTGATCCTTTGACACATTTACATAGCCAAAAGTTGGTATTTTTATCGGATTTATCCCGGCTGTTGTTCCTGTAGATGACGCAATAGATAGTTTTATGGCTTCATTCACAGAGAGCAAAATTCAATAATATATTTCAACAATATGAATTAAAAGAGTAACAAAATCTTGCATCTGTTTCTCGCATTAGGGTGAATTTTAACTGTTAAAATCTTACTGTAATAAAATAAACCAAACTGCACAAAGTTGATAATCTTTTTAACTAATAAATTAACCATAGATCTTTTTAGAACTGTTACAGTTTTATGGAATGAAAATAGTACAGACACTTTGAAAAAGGAGTATGAGTGCTTTGATGTTAATATTGGAGGGAAGTCACATGACATTTATATCTGTGTGTGTATTATCGATCAAATTATATGCATGTACATATATTTTTAAATATAATAAATAAAATTTTATATGATGAGGAGCCTATGCATACTGCTATAACAGAGCGAGCAACAAATACAATAAAGATAGCGATAAACGATAAAGACTGTGTCATCTTATTCATAGTTACTCTTCAAAATATAGTTTGAAAACAATACACCATTTCATCTGACATGCATGATATTTTAACATTGACAATGCGTATAAACTATACCGTAAAAGTGACCTACCGTTGTATTTAAAAATTGCGAAAGTCCTCTGAACTACTTGTTTTATGCTTGATGTTTCGCCTTTTTCAAATCCGGACGGACACATCCTTCGCAACACCTCGTAAAATGTTTCTTTTCTTTTTATGAATTGAATATTAGCATCACCTAAAATTTAAAACATCCCGTTAAATGTTCCGGTGAAAATGTTAGCTTTATTTTAAGTTATTGAAATCATTTAAGTATGATGTGTTCGTACAATCAAAACAGACGAATTAAGTAGAAATACTCAAGTGGAATCAAGGGTTTAGCTTAAAAATATTGATAACAGCTATATGTACATTTTTGTGACACTATTTAGTCCATCTCTCATGATTGAATTTTGACAAAATAATTGAAATACCGAAAAAAAAAACAACACCAACACCCCCCCCCCCAAAGAAAAAAAACAACAAAACACACACAAACATACCATACAGAAAAAATCAAAAGTTGTTCCTTGGTTACACCTGAATTAAAAGTATAGAAATTACATTACCATTGTAAATTTTGTACAATGTCATATAACCATTTCTTTCACACGGACTGCACCTGTGTCCTTTACAGTCTATTTCACAAACAAGATCTCGGGAATTATTTTTTGGTCTTGTGTTAAAACAGAAACACTGAAATGAAAATGGGAACACAATGACACTTTATTAAGATTAACATTACATTTTTAGAAAACATTTATTGTCGAAAACAGGTCAGATATTAATGTGGTCTTAAGATAATTTGCATTTTATTTCTAGCTACTTGTTTTAAAATGTTTTTTATCGTGACTTACACGTGTAGAGCTCAATCCGAAATAAGGGGCGCTATCACAAGAAGAAAAACATCTAACCACGCTATTCCCACTGTATGGTGATATTTTATGACTGGCTGCCTCGTGCACACATCCTGTATAAATATCTAAAGATTTAACCTTACAATCTTTACAAGTATGCTTCTTTAAGAAGAAGCATGCCAGAGGTCTTTTTGCAGCTATGAAAGATTTACAGGCACAATGAATGTTTAATAAAGATCCTGATTTTGAACTTGAGGTTGTTACACACTTAAGTGAAAATTATTTATGTAAATAATTATGCTTATAAAAAAAATTAAAACAGAAGAATATGTAAAATATATACTGCAAATATTTGTGCACATTACATGTAATCATTAGAATATGCATTCATTTTTTATTGAACAATTTGAATTAGACTTTATAGAAAATAAATTTCTAATAATCTCCCTTTATTTACATGAAATGTTAAATTTGGTAATATCTTTATAAATAATGCTTTTTGGAACTTACAATATTGATAAATCTTAATTTGAGCACTATATTTATGATTCAAAACCATAAAAATGTGTTACAGGATCCATAATTACTTTTATTTAAAGAAATAGAATTTATTATAAGAGTTTTGAATATAGTATCATAATGAAATTCTGTCTTACACTTCATCTTTTAATGTTTTGAAAGATTATATACCGGAGAAATGGACATTTTCTTAGCGCACCAGGGATATATTTTCCACAAGGGGATCTAACTAAATTTGAAAATAAATAATATATATATAAAGTAGTATAAAAATAAAGGTTTCTTGTACAATTCAATAATCAAATTGTTTTTGAAAATATATGAAAACATTTCCTCTGCAACAGAGTTTTTCCAAAACGGGCAAAAACTATGTTAATCAAATAATTTTAAGTCCCAGATTTACAGAACAAAAATGAATATATTGTATATATCAATTGTCAGGAATATACAGTATATATAGCTGCATGGCTCTTACCGCAATATTTCAAGAAATTCAAACTACAGGCAACTTTGTGCCATTTGCATCAAATAAAATCTCAGTTGCGCAATTAAGTCATACTGGTTTAAAAGTTTAAGGGCAGCAAAATTTCGTTGGTCATATAATAGTGCATGTTGATATTTTATCTATAATGTTCATTCTTAATGAAATACTTAAACGCTATTCAGAAAACAAAAATCGACGTATACAGCTTAAAAGTTTAAAACGGACTGAACCACTGCTCGTAGTGTTAAGTAACGTAAATGATATTTTCCGTTTTTTTTTTCCTTGTACCGATTTGTTCACTTTGATGTTATTTTTTATGTTTAAGTTAAGTCATATTTTGAAGCGGACTATTCGCAAAACAATTTTTGTAGACTGGTCTTATGATTTAAAGCTTAAAATTCGATGCATTAGCTTCAATTTGATACGCAAAAAATGGATGCCGCCAGCAATCATTCTCAACACTGTGGAAAGGTCTGATGACCTTTCCAATAACTATTTCTACTGGTCAACCGTATAGCCCGACAGATGAACAATAAATAAATTGGAAATTTTGTGGACAACATGTCATGTTTGCCCAACCCATTGCTTTTAAAATTGCTGTGAAAGAGTTTTATACATTAACATAGCTTTATTTGTTATTTTTGCCAAAACATTGAGCTTTTTATTTTAAAATTTCAAACTTCTCATTATACAAATGTAGCATTATATACTTATTTTTTTACCTACAAATTCAATATCCAGTGACGCAACATAATATCCAACCCATAAATCCTCGGTTATTTCTATATTTGAAATATTCAATGAAAGATTGATAAAATCTATTGGGGGTGTTGCAAGGTTACATTCCTTTGAAGCAGCTTCCCATGTAGAAGTATTTCGTGAAATGTAATATTCTACGTCAGCTGAAATAAAACACAAGACCAAGATTTCATACTGATGCATATAGATATGTAAATTTGCCACTTTCTACCTATCTTTGTCGAACATATTGTCATTTAAAAGTATATTAGTATATGTATGTAGTAATGTATACCATCTTTTAAGCAATACATAATAGAAAGAGCATCGAAATACGAGACTATCTGATGTGTACGAGGGGAGGGGGGAGGGGGCGTAGTCCCCGAGAATAAATCAGATTGCCTTGTATTTCGATGTTCTTCATATGCACAAAGAAAACACGTTCTTTGTCGTCACAATATTAAAACCCTGTGAAAAATAACTAATGAACGAGCATCTGAATATAATACTATCGCTATCCATTTCTCTGCCGTCACAGTAAGTAAACCCCGGAAAAATGAGCCAATCAATGGGCATGCTCTAGAGTGCGGGTAACTAATATATGCACTCCAGTTAACGCACTGTGCATATATATGTATACGATTTAACTCTGACACATTTTCAACAGAAAGGTCCCAATCTATAATACAAAAGTTTTATAAACACTGTCAAGACAGAATAGTTGACCACCTTTGTTTTTGTTTTGAAAAGAAATTATTAAAAACAATTAATCGCCGCCTTAATTTGCAAGTGTTAACACATGTATTGAACATAAATGTATATGGATTTTATTTGTTTATGGTAACCATCTATTTCCGCCTGCTTTTGTCAGATCTTTGCAATATTAAATTTTTCAATATCTTCGCAGGTAGGGTGAGGTAATAAATACACTGTAGTACATGCTACTTAAAAGATAAAAGAGATAAAAACAACCTCTGAAATAAAGGTCGGTGCAATATTTTCAACGTGTGGAAAGTTTAAACCGTGATATAAGTGTTATTGAAAAAAAATGCACAGAAAAATCTACACATCACCTAATCATTTATGACTTAACACCTCTTTTAAACAGGAAAAAGTAAATAACTGAATGTTCGCATTTGTGTGTCTTATTTGTTAATTTCTTTTAAACAATGTAATTATTTAGAAAGAAAAACGCTTGTCTCTTTCAAACAATGGAATAAGTAATTGAATTCGACAAGCCTCTTCTTTTGTTTTAAAAGGTGTTATTTTCAAAGTTAAGGGATGGGCAACAATTTGCTCAAAGATAAGTACACTGTATATTCTTAATGAAAACATGATGTTCATCATTTTAAAACAAGATAATGTGAATTGTAACTTTGTTTTATAGTTTTGTAACTGAACCCCCCCCCCCAAAAAAAAAAAACCAAACAAAAAAACAAACAAACAAAAAATCACTAAAATTTACTGGTTCTGACAATATGTTTATACCAGTATACGGTCACAAATGTAATGTGTACAGTAGGTTAGTTTTAAAATATGCTACAAAATAATATCTGCTCTTTTCATTCAAAATTAATATTATACCATCTTAACTTTAGAATAGTCTTATAAGCATATTATGCCGAAGAAAAAGGTAAACAAATAAATGAGATACATTTAAACATTAGAAAAAATCTGAATATAATAGCACATTAATTACTCACCTTGAGTCCGTTGAAATCCGCGAAAAAGAAGAAGCATTGTTGCAATAATAAAAATATTGTTCGACATTTTAAATCTCAAAAGTGTCATCACTGAATTCACCAATTTCACCAATAAGAGGAAGTTAAATATCCGCGGCTGTAAATCAAGATAAGATAAAATATATTATTTTGCAATATGTTTATGACCTTTATCGGAAACCGGATTGATAAATTCATTTTGTTTTTATCATTTGACCCATTGAGATTGGTTTATCGGGAAATAAGTGCGGATTTAAGCTCTTAAAAGTATTCAAATATTTTAAATTTGTATAAAATTTACATGGTTACGTTTCGTTTTCTCAAAAAGTGGATAATACCGATGCATTTGGTAATCGAAATCAGATATGTGGTAAAAAATGGGAAACTGTCTTTCATTTTTGACCATAAAGTATGAAATAAAGAAAAAAGAGAGGGAAATGTTAACTTTTCTTTTATTACTAAAGAAAATTCCATTACATGAACATAAAAGCAATGTGGATCAATTTGATATGTTAATGTAATGTTAATTTATGTTGGTCTTGTGTTTCGTTTTGACTAGATCAGGATATGACTAGTATGTAAGGACTCATATATCTAACACACATAGTTATTTTGGGACAAGGAAGAGCAGGGGTAGTTTATAGAATACAACACATACATAATTTTGTAAACATTTAGATATTATTAGAAATGGATTATTAATATACTAAGATATTTCAACATGCAAATGAATGTAAACCTTCTCCGTTGTTGTTTAAAATTTGTTTGAAATTTATTTTTGTACACTGTCTTGCCATATATATATATTGTATTGTGTATCCTCACGGGCCATGTGGCCTTATGGAATTTGAAAAATAAACTTATCAAACTTATCAAACTTATGTTAATCCGGAAAAAAGACTGTAAAGCCATAAGCATCTTTCATATAAAACTTTATCAGATAACCGTGCCGATTTTGCGACTCCATAAAAATGATATTGCACGGTCGTGCATATAAAATTTTATAATACTGCACGTTTGTAACGTCATTTTTCATTGGATAATCGTGACGTTTATATAGTTTTATATACACGGCTGCTGTCGATTCATGAAGAAATCTTACTTTTTTCTCTAAAGATGATGCTTGCTGTATTATAAATTCGTTATAAAGATTGTTGACAGGTTATATGACCGTATATAAAGGGCTGTTTGCAATATAACCCTCGCCTAACGGCTCGGGTTATATCTACAAATAGCCGTTTATATAGGGCCATATAACCAGTCAACGATCTTTATAACTAATAATATTGATGTGACTTCATATGCGCGTATATTACTGACATAGTGTAAAAATGCGCTAAATGTTAGCATTTTAATACAAGCACGTTAATGAAAAAATGATTCTGTTGCATTTAAAACAGTTTTATATTGGGTATGTGATGAATATAATATTACCTTTGTGTAGGTTCATTACTTAGTTAATTCAACGGTAACAAGACAACTCACCCCCAGACGATTCACCCCCCAAAAAAGCAAGACAACACACCCCTCAAGACAGTTCACTCCCCAAAATAGATAAGACAATTCACCCCTCATAAATGATAATCATGTTTATGGGTAAAAAAGATTAAAAAATTCAGTATATTTATTATGTCATATTTACAAAATATAACTGTATAACAGCACATATACCATGATGTATACAACAAAAAATATAATTTTATTCAATCAAATCAAATAGCACATAATTTATATTGAGGGAAATGCCCATAATAATCTTGATATTTTTATTGTATATATGATGCAAACATATACAACTGTTAAATTATCCATTTTCTTAAAGTGCTGTAAAACATATTGTCTATTCTACATCCACTCTTTCATCAGAAGCACTTAACACCTTATCATTGCTTGATTGTCACTTCAACAAAATATCATGGAGAAGAAGTACATTGTATCATTTCTTTTTGGGAATATTGTAAGATTTCAAAATGTCATTTTATGTCAGTATAATCGGGACGTTTGGGAAATATTGCATGGTTGTCATTTCATGTCATTATCACATATAATGGGGATTATCATTTGGGTTGGGGAATATTACATGTCTCTGCCAGGAATCTATCTAATCACTAGTTATCACTTCACTTAACAATTCGTCCATATATTTCCCCCACTTGCTCAAGGAATTCTCGGCTCTGAGCTCATGCTCATCATACAAATCCAATAAGGAAAAAATGTCCTGATCCATTGACTTGTAAATCTGTCTTCGTATTCGCACAATAATCTCTTGGGCAACCAGGTTAACGGTATAATCCACCATTTTCCCTTCTTGGTGGAGGAGAGGTATCAAGACATAAAATGCCAGCTTGCCACGACCAGCTTTGTTGTTGAGTGCTCTGTGATAACCTGAAACATGGATTAAACTTGCTTACTATACACTTTCATCAGATTTTTGTCAAACACTATCATTTTATAAAATATGCTACTATGTTTGTCAAGGATAGTTTGGTTAAAAAGTGAATGAGTATAATTAAGCATTATATCTACAAAATAAAATTACATATGAATACACTTATACATACTTAATAATAAATATGAACAAGAATTATTTTCTGCTCAATGTCAAACAATGTATTTGTGTTGAAAGAACTGTAAGGTTTATATATAATAATTTACTTACCCTCAGTATCGTTATTAGTTCTAACCGGCTGTCGGTACACTGACCATTCTTCTGGTGACCAGAGACTACTTTCAATCCACTGATCATTAATGTAAGTGAAGAGATCAGCAACTGGCATACTGCTGGTGTCTGCCCTCTGGCGTAGTCTGTCGAAGGCCCTGCTGATGTGTTGTGTAGGCATGAATGGTAGTGCCAGCAGTTTTCTAATCAGGGTGTGTACAGTCCCTCGTTCCCTGTAAGTTGCGCTGAGCCCCAATTCCTGAACACGTCGCTGTACAGCTTGAACCAGTGAAAGGAACACCCCCTAAGTGCTGCACACGGAAAAATCTGACGCAGGGCTTGCCAGCTTGCCAGAGACCTGAAATAATGAAAAAAACAAATATGCTATCGGAATGAATAAGTTATCACAGAAATGAAAAAAGTTTGAACATCATTTATATTATTTATATTTATTTTGTTATGTGTATGAAAAAAGCAATATGTGAATTTATGGAATGTTTATATATTTAAAGAATATTTAAATAGAAATTTAGAATTATGAATGATGAGTTATAAAATAAAGTTTAATGATTAACTTAAGTTATTATTTAAATATAGTAAAAAAAATTACCAATTTCAAAGTCCATTGTAAAGCACTCAACAGAAGGAGCCTCAACTAACAGTTCCAGAATTTTTTCTAAGACCTGCAATGAAATGGAATATGTAGAAGAATCAATATGACATTAAAAATGCATGAGGAAATGGAAGTTGAATTTTTTTAATTTTTGGTTTTAATTAAATATGTATATGATATTTAAAAGTCTGGGAAAACTCATATTTCCATTGTTTTCAAAGGAATTTATTCCACTCCATTGGCATAAATATAAAGTATTTAAATAATAGCTGATAGAAGATGAACATAATCACTGAACAAAATATAAAGAACTTATGAGTTCACAACCTCAAACATAGGTACTGTTTTCCGAACATGACCACTTATGGGAAACATAAGTAATAAACAATACAAAAAAACCCACCAAGCAGTTTTACCTGCTTTGCTGGACTGCTCCTTTTGCTTTGTAAAAGGGCATTGAAATTTGCCCCCATTAGTGCAACAAATGGGCTTTATGACAACTCTGAAATAGTTTACCATCTAGATTTTACCAATTTTCTTTTGATTCGTTTTTGGTTTAAGCAACTTTTTTAGGAGTTGGCTGTTTGTGGGGCAAAAAGGATTGAGGTGACGAGTCACCTGGCCCAACAAACAGACATTTTTCAAACCCTTTGTTAGAAAGGCCTTTCAATCTTTAAGGAAAAATTTTTGGTGTTTCAAATCTGTTATTTAAAAATAAATTACATTTATTTCATTTTATGGTTATAAAAAAAACTTATTACTTTTTTGCTAAAAATTTATCTTTTTTTTCTTATAATTGGGCACCATTGAGAGAAATTAATAGGTTTCATTCTCTCTGCCAAGTTATATTCATTTTTATTTATTTCATTTTCTTTTCATTTGAGGTTCTCTATTTACTTTAAATTTAAAACATTTATTTGTTTAGCTCGATTGTAAGGAAAGCTTGGCAAAACTTTTATTTTGGGGAATTCCACTTTGGGTGGAAATTCGGAGTTGGTCTTTGAGAGGGAAAAAACATGGTCGTGGAACCCCCCTGTGGGGGCTTCGCCAACCACCCCGGATCCCCTGGCTAATTTACATTTGCCCATTAAATGAAAAGGAATGTGAATATAATTATAAACAAATTTTACCTTTCCAAAAGTCCAAAACAGATTGGTTCTTGGTTTGGGTTTTCAGAAAGGGCGTTGATTCTTTTCTTGGCCACGGTTCCCCAATTTGTCCTGGACCCAATGGAAAAGGTTTTTTTTCAGGTTTTTAACCAAAGGGTCCTTCTTCTGGGGTCCCAAAAAAAGCCGGGATTAAAACAGTTGGCGATTTACCCAAAAAAGGGCCTTGTTGTCTTCTGGAAGAAAACCATTCTCTCAGGCTGGTCTTACTTTTCAACCTGTTTACCCAATGTGCCACATAAAGTTATTGGGGGACAGCAATATTAAAAGGGGACCCAATGATTATTATTTAATTATTTCAAAAACCTTTGTAAAAATGGGGAAACCATTGTTATAGTTTACATGTGTTTTGCAAAAATTGACATGTTAACCAGGGATTTGTATTGTAATATTTAAGTTAAACTTTAATTAGTTGTAAAGAATTTTTTTTCTTAAGAATCCCAGTTCAATTTTAACCCAAAATTTCATAATTTTGTTTTATTAATTGTTACTGTTTTAACTTTTTTACAGTTTAAACTAAAAAGGGAACTGAAATATTTTTATTTTACTTTTTTTTTGTAAAAACTTACATTTTTTTTTCAACTTTTGAACCTCCCCACTTTTAAAAATGGAAAAAAAAAATCATTTTACATTTACGATCATTTAAAAACGGCTTTTGGTAGTATTTAAGGGG